CATTATACCCACATTTTACACATTTCGAATGGGTAAGTGTTACAGCAAAAAAGAAATAAAACCTGTCGCAAGCATTGGCGAAAGAAAGGGGCAACAGGGAGTATATATTTATATATATATATATTTTTTTTGAAGAGACAGATAAAGAAATAGCTTTAGATATGCCAATAAATGCGTTCACATTGTTGCCAACTGCTTCAAAGGGGCACAAACGTTACCTTTGTGCGACTACATTGTAATAATAATGATCATATAATGCCACATTTTTATAGCAAGAAAAAAAAATGATGAAAAAATGAAGAAAAATGAATGCGTCTGGCGATGAGTTTGCAAATTGTCAAAAGTAGCAACGAGTTTGTTGAGCTCGCTCCTCCGGCTTCATCTAGCCAGGTTCCGCCTTCGGTTTCTACACCGACAACGGCGACAACTTGAAACGACGCCTAAACACCACACCAAACAGACTACAGACAACAGACGACATAAAACAAAAAACACACAACAGACAACAGAAAACACACACAAATTGCTGTACAAATTGTGTAGCAAATGCGCCTCAAGGCGGCATCGATGTAGAGATGTGCGTGTTTTAATGAATATGAGGCGTGCAAATTACCAAACAGCTATATAAATACATATCTACAAACATATTTATATCTTTAGCACTATGTTTAAAAACACATAAAAAAATGTTGTTATATTTGTAAAGTATTTTGTATGGTTAGGCAGAACAAGCAAGGAGTCACTAGTATTAGTACAAATTGTAAATAATAATAAAGTTTGAACTGAAACGGAGAAGAAAGAAAAGATGAGAAAATTGACCAGAAATGAGTCCGAGATCTACAGGAGTCACTAGTAGTAGTTAAAGTCCTAATGATAAACTGACACAAGAAGAGGGAAAGCAACTGAAAAGACAAGAAAGTTAACCAGACATAAGTCCTGGAACCTTAGCTCTATTTCATTTTAGTCATTTATAGTCTTGTAAATAAAATTTTACATCAATTTGAAGTAGACAAGCTATAAGGAACATATATTCTTGATCAGCAAACATTTTTCTAGCTGATCTAAGTATTTCCTTCTCAATTTAAAGTCCGTCTGCAGCTTAAAAGATTCATAGTTCCGTTTCTTAATCTAGAATATTATATTACTTTCCTACACTGCAACACTTGAAATTGTAACTCTCGCTAATTGAATATTTCCAGTGAATATAACACTTGGCACCTACTTCATTTGGTATGACAACATTTTGCAATAACTGCAATCATTTCCAGCTAGTTTAAATAAACACAACACCAATGAGCATTAAAGTTATTATTATAATTATTTGTTAGTGTGTCATTGAGAAATAAACAAGAACGAATTGTTTTTAGACATGCTGAAGACTATATGCCCTAGCAGAACGCCAGCGAAGAGCGATCTCTTTTCTTTTAAAAACTATATGATATCATAGTCTGATGTGAAAAATATTTAGTTTAAGTGTAAACCTCTTTAATGTAAGCATATTTAGTGAGTTTGGTTATGATAACTTGGTAAACAAAAAAGTTGTTTCTATAAACAGCTGTATATAATATGATATAGTGATGCGATCTGATCAGCTTTAATATATATATTATGTGCAGCACAAATACGATTTATGTGCCTAGTTTGATCACAGACTAGTTGGCATTTAAAAAGAAAGAAAGTTCCATATCCATATATACTCAAATTGTGTCGCAGCTGTGTACTTCAAAGCGATGCAAACTTGATAACAAAGCTAGAATACCGTCTGCAAGAATACCCTACAAAATCAGTAATTTACCTTATATGGCAATTGGCTATTAGCTGCTGGCAGTTGGCAGTTGACAGTTGGCAGTTGGCAGTTCGTGCGGATGGCGATTCTATAAATGAGCGAACTGGAAATATGAAATGCTAAGCATAAAACCAACTACCTACAATAAACTGTGCACATATCGACAATAATTCGAGTAATTCAGTTGCTTTTATTTGCTGCTGTTATTGTTGATGTTGTTGTTATTGTTGTTGTTGTTGTCCAATCTGACTGAACGTGCAATTATTGAGTTACAAATGAAATTGTTTGTCTCTTTTGTGATGATTATGCTGCTTGTATCTTGTTGACTTTGCAGTTATTGTTGTTGTTGTTGTTTGTATCTGTTTGCCTCAACATGCATATCGTGCAAAAAGTCATAAATTACATAATTTGCTGTACGTTTATCTGTTCAGTGATATTGCAATTGTTGTTTTTCTTTGCTACGATCTGTGACCTTTGTTTAACGATTTTTTTTTTCTTCAATTGGGTTGAATGAACTCTGAACCCGACTGGCTACACAACTCTTGTAAGATGATACTGTCTTTAAGCTATGCTTTACTTAATTGCTTACAATTTGTAATACTCTAATCAATCAATCTTTGGCTTTAACTAATCCCTATTTGTTGTTCTTGCCCCGATTTGCATGTTCAACTCATTTTAGGTATTAATTTTCATGTTAAACGCTGCGATTTGCTCATACGTCAAAGTCAAGCCTTTGTATGCAAATTTATTATTGTGTCGTGGCATATTATCATAAATTAAATTAAACACATGCATAATTTTCAATAATAATAATAATATTGTGAGAATTCGTCGTCAGATTGAAAATACTTGTAGATTATAACAAGTTACAAGTTCTGGAAGACACAGCTCAACTTTGAAATACCCTGCATGCTAATGCAACCCTTTGCGCAAGATGAAATTACGATTTGGTTTCATATTTAATTTAAATGAATGTCTTACATCAATTTGAAGGCTATATCTGTAGGATTGTGTTTGATTGCTACCGGAAATCGATTTGTATCGATCGAATTAAATCAACTTAAGCTGCGTGGGTTAAACGAGCATTTTAATTCCAAATTGAAAGTATTTTATTTCTTTCAATTGCTTTCATTTTGCCTGCTACACACTTGTGCACCATCTTATTATACCCCCTTGGCCATTTTTTAATGACTTCAGGGTATAATAAAAAGAAACTGATTGCAAACTGGATAAGTTTAGCTCGACATTGATATACATACAGATGTAGATGTAAATAAACAGCAGACATTTTGCTGCGAACGTTTTCTTATTCAAATTTCAGTGAACTGCGTAAATATTTATACAATGTCTGTATGCCACAGGTACTATATACATATACCGCATATCGTGTATATAATTTTTATGACTGTTTACCGCATAAGTTGGCAAAACGAAACAAAACAAAAAAAAACGTAAAACAGAAAAAAAACACCAAACTCAAGTTAATGTTTCCTTGGAACCTTAAGCAAATGCTTTTAGGTGACAAATTGAATGCTTACCACATTTTTCCAGTTTGTAATTTGTGCCGCATTTGAAATAACAAATTTCAATGCACTTGCTGCACTTCCGAGATAACAAATTGAAATTCTAGATGTTGTTTGTCCATGGGTCGGGTAGGCAGGCAACACCGATAAAGGAAGCAACGGGAAACTCTCGCCGCATCGAGGGTCAACCTGCCTTTTGTTGTCATTGTGGTTACTCGTGGAGTGGGTGGAGGGGGGATGGTGGTTTTTGTAAACGGGAAACGGTGGCTAATGATGAGTTGGATTGCGGGTCTCGAGTTTTAGAGGTGCGTCGTCGCCATTATTGACGTCAAGGCGGCCCCACAATTCAAAGCTTTTAAAAGTCATTTGAATTGTGGCTTTTTGAAAAGTAATGTGAATTGATTTGATTGAATACTAAATCATTAAAAATATATTTTCGATTTTCAATTGCGATCTTTTGTAATTACACTTAAATCAAACTGATATATATTCCATTCGTATTATTGTATTATTTTTCATTGATTTCGGAACTTGCTATTGCAAACATTTGATTTATATGTGTATATATACGTATATTTTATTATTTATTGTGATATTTTTAATCCGGATCATATTCGTCACGTCTTTTTGAGTTCTCATTGATTTAGGTGTATGCTTTTGATAACATTTCATTAAAATATATATTTTTTTATTAATGTTGCACTTTACTTATGTGAATCATGTTCGTCGTTAGTCATGTGTGTCTTCAATGAACATTTCTTTCTATTGAAAACATTTAATTTACATTTTTTATGTGCGATTAGCTTTGCCCAAAAATAAGCTTTGATTGCATTTGATTAACTTTAACGATTTATTTATTTTTTGTAGTATTTTTTTTACTACATCAGAATTAATGCATTCTTTTTGTTATTAACTATGTCGTAAAAGGAGCAAAATAAGCGGCTGTCTTTGTCTTCAATTTGGTTAATTAATTCTCAATACAAATGCAATGAGATATTAAATTTCAGTTGTACATTTATTGACACTATTAATTTGTCTTTATAGTTTTTTTCCTTATTTGATTTTATGAACACGTGCTTAATTTGTGTGCTGCGCCTTTTAATTTAACTCATTTGACCTTAACTTTAAGTTTTATTGCAGCGGCTTATTTAGATCTTGAATTAAGTTTTGGTTGCACAAATGCAGTTAACAATTGCAAAGTGCGATTATAAATATATATATGTATATATTTCCAACAACTTTTAAAGTAATTTCAACTGACAGCAGTCAGCCCAAAAATTATTGTTAAACAGATTACTATGGAAAATAGATTTCCACACAAAAAGTTGATGGCTTTTTTGAGTGTTTGCTGTTTGCAGAGCACTTAATGCCTTACGCTTTATAGATCGCTGTCATTTCTGCTTAATATTCAAAATACTTAAACAAAATAGTCCAAGCCGCTTAAGAGCTTGCAAAATTGCAGACGGACTTGACTCATATAATTATTTTCCTTTATTTTTTTTTATTTTTTGTTGTACTGTTTGCTGATGTGTTGACTCAACGCCTTTGAAGACTTTAAGTAAATAGTATATAGTATTTAAATAATTATCAGACAAGACACACACAGACACATGCACTAAACTATTGCATTTTATTTATAATGTCTTGTTAACACTTTTTCTTTATATTGCAGTTTTATTGTGCAACAACAACAAGTGCAACAATTGGCACAATTGGCGATAAATCAGCAGCAGCAGCAGCAGACGCCGCTTGAACTTTCAACAGACACCGCAAAAAAAGAAGAGAAAAAACGAATAACGAAAAACAATCTACCAAAACGAAGCAGTCTGAGGGCAGGACAGGAGGAAGAGGAGGAGGAGGAGGAGGCAGTGCATCCATTAACAGCAGCAGCAGCTTCTTCTTGCTCGTCTCGGTATCGATTTCGCTTTGGCTTCGGCTATTTTGGTGGTGTGGCAGAAGAGCTGAAAAGATACTTGGTGGATTGCTAGGGGCCCACGCCACGCGGCGAATGCAGCATGTGGCCATGTAAAGCCAACAACAACTACAACAGACAACAGCCATAAAAACAACAACAAGAACAACAACAACAGCAGCAACAAACAGCAAACAAACTTGGCCACACTTGACAGAGTCACTTTAGCAGTCAGTTTTGTCAGTCACTTGTTATTATTCAAGTCAGCGCAGCGGAAAAGCGTCGATGAGTTGAGCACCGATAGCCAAGTTCAACTCAATTCAAGCTGCTGCTCCCCAACCCTCCCTCCCTGCCACTTCCCACTGCAATGGACGCAACGCAGCAGCAGCAGGAACAGCAGCCGCAGCAGCTAGCGGAACCATCGATAGCGAGGTCATTGGACCAACAGGTGGAGGCATCTTCCATTGGTTCGCCCAATCATTCGCACTACTCGAATCTCACCAATACCAGCAATAGTAGCAGCTCCCACAGCAGTAGCTGCCACAGCAGCAACGCCAGCAGTCCATCTGTTGTCAGCGATAGTAGCCGCAGCACTACTTCCACATCCACATCCTCCTCATCGGCGCCGCAATACAGCGAAGATTTGCGTGCGTCAGCTGCAGTACATCCAAGTCAGACGCCGAGTCAGAGTCAGAGTCAGCGTGGTTCGCATTCATCGCACAAAACCTGTGAATTGGATGTGGGCGAGGAGGAACGCGATACCTTCTCACCCGTCTCCAGTCCTGATTGCAACGGTGCCGCAGCAGTAGCAGCAAGTGTTGTTGTTGCCGGCGGCAGCAGAGATAACAAAAGTTACGACACTAAATTAAAACCATCATCGAAGGAGGAGAAACAGCGTCAGAACGAGGAAATTGTCTGCATGGAAACCTCGACAGTGTCCACAGAGACCGGCTCCTGGGAGTCGGTTTATCCGAATATGCCCGCACATGTGGCGTCCACATTAGAGGAGCCAAAACCAGCGCCACCGCCACCATTGGCGGAGGAGGAGGGCATCACTTCCAGCTGCCTGCTACGTGAGTTTGAGAAGCGGGAACAGCAGCAGCAACAACCGTTGACCGGTTCACAGCATAGCGCATGCTTCATCGATGCATCCTCGCTGCGCGATGAGGATGAGGTGCTCTCCACCTTTCCCAGTCTGGACTGTGTTCAGCCCTTGGAAGATGCAACGAAGCCGACAAGCGAACTAGAATTGGAACAGTTTCACAAGGCATTCGCCAAGTGCAAAGGATCGAGTCTAAACCAGCGCAGCAGTCAATCCAATTGCAGTTCAGATGTGGAACCGGATGAAACACAGCCGGATAGCACGACGAACAACTTGTCCGATGAGGAGAAACTGTGGAAGCGGGAACAACAGTTGCCCGCCAGTGGTGCCGATACCAGCAGCGTCTCTTTGGCTGCCGCTGATGCAGACTCCTCGGATTCTTCGTTGATGAGTGCACGACGACGTCGTGCTCCCAGCTCAGCGGCACCCGTACCGGTGCCTTACAGTTTCCAGCACAATGCGCAACAATTTAGCGTGCATCCACTGGGTAGTAGTCCCAAGTTTGCAGCGCATCATGATCTCAGCTATACGACAGACTACTCCTCCAGTAGTCCGGCACACAGTCTGGTCTGGTCGGAGCAGGGCGGCAGGCAGCACTCAAAGCAGCCAACACAGCAGCAACAGCAGCAGCAGCAACAGCAGCAACATGCTCCAACGATGGCGCCACCCACAGACACGCCACACAATTCAATGGTTCATGTGCTGGAGCACATCTCGAGCAGCAACAATAGCTCCATACACAGAGATTATACGCTCAGCTCATCGCTATCGCATCATCGGGATTCGGGTGCTTATTGCAGTGATGCAACCGATTCACCGTTGCCACTGCCACGCACACCCAAACGCTCCAAGTTTGATGAGGCGAATCCCATTGTGTCGGGCGGTGCATCCATTGAGGATTTCCGCCAAAAGCATTGCGATAGTCCCAGTTTAAAGCGACGCACCGACACCTGTCCGATTGTCTCGGGTGGTTTTGTCTCACTGGACTTTGCTGCCACTCAGCCGCAAGATGATGAGGACAATGAATATGAGCAGGAGGCGGCCGAGGATGCGGAGCTGGAGGGCGTTGAGATGCGTGTGAAGAGTGTGCAGCAGCGTAAACCATTGTCGGGCATTGCATCCTGGGTGGTGGACATGAGCGATTGCCGGCCGGAGCGACGCAAGAGCAGCAGCTCCACATCCAGCTTGGAGGCGGCGACACGCGGCGAACGCTTTCGCGAACGCTCCGATTCGAATAGCTCGCACAAGAGCGGCTGCGGTTTCTATGTGTCACTGGATGACATGGACAGAAAGCCAAAGACTAAACCCGAACAGGAGCAGCCAGTCCAGCAGCAGCAGACACTCAGCAAATCCTATACAGCGCCCAAAGCATCCAATTTCTTTGTGAATCTCTCGCAGAGCGACTACCACGCCAAGGAGCAGCAGCACCAGCAGCAGCTGGACCAGGAAGAGCAGGCGGCTGCCAAACAGGAGCAGGAGAAGAAGAATATTTTTAGCATGTTCATTGACTTTGGAGAGTCGGCCAAGCCGCGTGCCACAAATGGCCGCAAGGAGCCCTTCAATTTGGCGCAACGCTTGAGCAGCTCGCTGAGCGTTGCCCAGCGTCGCAGCGAGGAGCTGATGAAGTCCAGTGCCAGCTCCACAGAGACCCTAATGGCCAAGAGCGGCACACAGCCGCTGAAGGAGGAGAGCAAATCTCTCGATTATCGTTGTAACAATATGGAGCAGCAGCAGCAGCAGCAGCAACAACAACCCTTGACTGTGGCAGCTTTGAGACGCATGTCCAGGCAGCAGCAGCAGCAGGAGGCGAGCAAGCGGCACAGCTGGGGCAGCAACACTAGCAGCAAGGAGCAGGTGGCGCCGCCAACTGGGGATTACAAGCGTTCCATTAGCCTAACTGCAAATGGTGGCGATCAGTGTGGTGGCGTCGGCAATGGTCTGATGAGCATCATTGACAAACTGCCCATCATCTCGAAGGCATCCTCGCTGTCTGTGGACAGCTCGTTGTCGCCATACGATGACTACAGCGTTGGCGCCCTGAGCAGCTGTGGCTCCGAAGAGGAGGAGCAGCAACAGCAGCAGCAGCAGGAGGCGACTGTTGCACGTTTAAAGAAACGTCGTCGCGATGCACAGCTAAATGAGACCTACGACAAGAGTAGCAGTCTGGCCTCTGGGCTCACCGAGGGTGTGCTCTCCAAGGATATGTCGCCGGCATCGAATACGAATACGGACACCGATGATCTCACCTTTCAGCAGGATGAGCAGATTGCGTTGCGTGAAGTGCAGCAACAGCAACAACAGTTGCCGGTGCAGGTGCAATTGACAAGCAGCAGCTCCAATCGTGCCTCCATCATGGAGACGATCATTGAGGCCAAGGAGACGGCATCGCCCAAAAAGCAGGCAACAACAAGAACAGCAACTGCAACTGGAACTGGCACAGCAACAGCGCTCAGCAATGGCCACACCATGGAAACGTTGCATGCCACAATTGAGAAGCAGAAACAATTGCTCGAAACGGTTAACGAGCATGCCGAGCAACTGGCTCCAGCTGGCGCCGCAGCCAGCTTTGTGAAGCTCTCCGATATGGATAAACCGGTGGCCGCCAAACATGAACTACAATCGCCGGATGCGATGAGCAAAAGTGCTGGGAATCAACGCAGTGCCAGTGCTGTCAACGGTCAACGTTTCTATCGCGATGAACAGCATCGTTCGACACGACCGCATTCATGGGCCATGACACGCTCCAGTGGCAATCAGATCCAGCACTTTGCCAGCTCCGTCGACAATTTACGCAGTCTCTCGCGACTCTTTCCCAATTTCAGCAAAGAGTTCTCCAATTCGTTGCCTGGTGATATGGCGCTGGATAATAATAATCCCGGACAGCAGCAGCAGCAACAGCAGCCACAATTGGACTACATCCAGACGGATCTGAGTGGCGATTCCAGTTTGGCATCGAGTTTCAGTCGCTCCGGCATGGATGAGTCATCGATGAGCTGCCGTCAGCCGCGTCGCTTAGGCGAAGATCTGCTCAAGATGTTCCTGCAGGAGATTGCCACCGATATGCTGGTCGAGGTGCATGGACGACGCATACGCGCCCACAAATGCATCCTACGCAGTCGCTGTCAGTATTTTGCTGCCATGCTCGCCGGTCACGGCTCGCAGAGCGTTGTTTCCCTGCAGGGCTACTCCTATGCCGCTGTCCACTTTGCTCTCTGTCACATCTATTCGGGCGCCTCGCATCCGCCCGACGGCATTAGTCTAATGGAGTTGGCAGCGCTGGCAGATCTGCTGGGTCTGGAGGGTTTGAAGGAGGTCACTTCGCATGCGCTGAAGACCAACTATTGCCACAACTTCCATAAGCCGTGCTCGGGCTGCATCGATGGCATACTGCAGGTGCTGCCCGTCGCACTCAATCATGCGCTCGATGATCTCTATCGCAAGTGCTTGCGCTGGACGTGTCGCCACTATCTCAAGGTGTGGCCGACGCGACAGTTTGCCCAACTGTCGCCAGACATACTCGGTCGTTGTCGCCAGCAAATAGTTGCCTATTTGGTAAGGATACCACTACTTCAAAAGGGTACTTAACTCTTACTGATACCTTTCTTTCAAACACCCGCAGACATCCGAGACGGTGCTGGATACGGTGCTCGAATGTGATCATCTGGTTGCCCAGTTGTCCGCCTATCGTTGGGGTCATGTCTGTGAGCAGCTGGTGCGCGACATTTTGGACGCCGCCTATGGCTATGTGGGTGATCATTTCGCCAGCTTGATTGCCAGCGATTCGTTTCTGTCGCTGGGCCATGATCGTAGTCGGCACATTCCACGGCTGGAGTCGCTGCTGCTGCAAACGGCCGCTGCTCTGACGCCGGAGCAGGCCTGTCGCAGTTATCAGCGTGTCACACGCTTGAATACTGTGCTGCAAGCGAAACTCATCCAAATGCCCGAGAATCTCGGTGAACTGGCCAAGGAGTTGCAGGGACTGCAGGAGGAGCAGCTCGACTGGCAGCCCGAATACATACGACTGGTCAGCGCTCTCGTCTATGCCGTTGAACAGTGTCTCATACGACAATGTTCGCGTGCAATGCGCGTTACGGCGTGGCAACGCATGGATCTGGAGCTGCGCAAGAAGATTCAGACAATGGCACGGCTAACGGAGCCACTCGATCTCAAGCGCAACGGTGGCAAGCCGGTTAGCAAGGCCTTCTCGTTTGGCGGCAGCACACGCAGTCAGGATCTCGTTCAAATCAAGCTCGCCATCCAGGCGCAATCGAAGCGCGCCCAGGCGCACGAGACGCAACAGCAGTACAAGGCCATCCACACCCAGACCACGTATGATCATCAGCCGGGCAATGTGCAGACCACGGAGCGGGGCGTTCAGGCCAATCACGATCTGCGCGAGGGCAACAGTGAGTATTTTTTTTTTAAATTTTTTTTTTTTTTTTTTTTTATTACCCCCTTATTTATTTTTTTTTTTTTTTTTTTTTTTTTTTTTTTTTTTTTTTTTTTTTTTTCCCCCCCATTTTTTTTTTTTTTTTTTTTTTTTTGGGGGGGGGGTTTTTTTTTTTTTTTTTTTTTTTTTTTTTTTTTTTTTTAAAAAATTTTTTTGGGTTGGGTTTAGGTTTTTTTTTTAAGGTTCCAAGTCACATCTACATTGAAATGATGAGTCAAAAATTAAAATGCTTAACTTCATTTTTATTTGCTCCTCCCGCAGGTAAATTGCTCAAGTCAAATTCACGCGCCTATGTGCCGCAAACGCATCGCGCCAGCTCGCAGTCGGCCAGCGAGCGGAACAGTCTCAATTTGACATCGCATCGACGCACACAGTCCGAGGCGCCGCCAGCGACACAAAGGAAACCAGCAGTTGCACCAAAGCCCACGGAAAGCGCAGCGCCTGCAGCACGGAGCACAGCGGCGCCTGTGCGTCTAGGTGAGGTGCGTGCTCGCTACATGGAGCCGCGAAAGCCGCGTCCAGTTAGCGCTGGCAATACGGCCAATGCGGGTCCAATGCGTAGCGCCACCAGTGGCAGTATACCGGCAACGGGGGCGGCGGCACGCAAGGCACAGGGCAAGAAGCTGCACATCTCGTCGAGCGACAGTTCGCGCAACTCAAGTCCGGCGGCAGTGCGACGTGGCCAACAGAATGGCGGCCAGCAGCAGCGACTGGGCAACAAGTCGAGCAATCTGTCCACCGATAGTCTGGCCAAGAGTGGCTCACGTGAGCGTTACTCCTCCGATCTGAATGTGGATTCGCTGGCGGAGAGCATGAAGAGCTCGGTGATTACCAATAAAACGATCTCACACGAATCGCTGACGAGCAGCTCCAAATTGGCGCGCGTGCAGCAGCTCAACGGTGGTGGTGTCACCACCACCAAGCCACACACAATTGGGCCGCCACAGCGTGGCACCCAGCGCACCTCGACGGTAGGCAACAAGGCGACGCGTCAGTTGAAGCAGCAGCATAATGCTACAATCGGTGCCAGTGGTGCCTCCAACGGTTCCAGTCCCAGTTCGGTGCACACAACCAAATCGGCAACCAGTCGCTTGTCCTCGGTGAGCAGCACTTTGTCCACGCGGGAGATGTTCAAGCAGCGCTCCATTTCGGTGCCGGCTGGCGGTGAGTCAGCACCAGCCAAGAGTCGTCCCAGTTTTCTCTCGGCCAAGTCGCGTGAGATACTCGCTAAGCGAGCCGAGAAGAACAAGTTGCAACAACAGCAGCAGCAACAACAACAGCAGCAGCAACACAGCTCTGGGGATGAGCGGCAAACACAGTTGCGTGCCTCTGCTGGACCGCTGCGCTCCTCATCACATTCCGCCGTTAGCAGCATGCTGCAGCAGCACAATCTACGCAACAGTCTGCCCTCCAATATACCCACACGTCGCCCCAATACGCTGCACTTGCGCAAGACAACATCAGCAACAACAACAACAAAAAATGGTTTTAGTGCTCACAAGCCGCCACCAACCACAAATGGTGGCATGATGAATGGCTCGCATCCGTACAAAACGGCCCAGGCGGTCAAACAGAAGTTGGACCTGCTCATCGATGGCCAGCAGCAACAGCAACAGCAGCAGCAGCTGGTGGAAAACAGCGAGCGACGTGTCGAATCCAAATTGGAGAGATCGAGCACCTTCTGCAAGGACAGCGCCGATCTCAATATAAATGTCAGCGAACTGCAAATTGTGGAGTAAATATACAAAACGGTATAGCTGCAAATGGGCAATATTCTGATCGAATATATTAACTAAAATACTCTTCTATTTTTTTTGTTGTCATTCACAGGTCATATCAAATATGAGCCGAGCGAGAATAAATAAATAATAAACACCCATACACGTCCCATAAGGCAACTCTAGTCAATAATAGCATGTAGTTGCAGGCGCAGGAAACATATTAACAATAAATCCAATAATAATCAATAGAGACGAGGACGATGATGATGAGATAAAACATGTTACTAGCAAAGCAAACGATGTGTGCACTCCCCACTATAAATTATAGCAGTTACATACATATATATATATATATATATATATATATATATATGGATATATATATATTATACAACTTATTGTCCCTCCTCCCAATACAATACAATACAAGAAAACATATTTAAATACTTATTATTGTAATGAAATTGTATGCCAGGCGGAATCGAAGTCGAAGCAATGTCAAAAAGTATAACAAATTTGGTGATATTATTTAGTGTGTGCGCTTGCTTTATGTTATTATTATTATTTTTTGTTGTAATTTTGGCTGCAATTTTCTGTGTGTGCTTCAAGTACTACTCTCATCATAAAAAGAACAAAATTAACTATGTGCTTTGCCAGCTGCATTTAAGTAGTCTCTGCGCTGCAGCTTTAACATCATATTTTTAACAAAAAGAAAATAAATAATTCAGTCTCTATCTCTCTCTACATATTTACCCATAGCCCTAATCTTAATTACTTTAAGCCTTGCAATTTTTTATACTGTTCTTTATTTGAATTTTTACTCGTAGTAGTTCAGCGAATCGGGCGCGCAACCAAGAAAATGTTTTTTCTTTAATTTATATACATTTGAATTATTTGATATAAATATTATATATTAAAAAAAAACAAAGAAAACAAAAACAATGAAATGTATTTTGTAAGCAAACCGACATTGATATATATTGATGCAATGATAAAGTGCAAGTTTAATAAATGTGTGTATTTATTAAAAGTTACATTTGCAAAACGTATGCTGTCCATTTCTTTCTCAATTTTTATTATTGATAAATGCATAATACTAGCATGTTGAACGAAACGGAAGAAAAACAATATACAAAACAAATTTGAATGCGCGCCATGTTTCAGATTCCATATTCCAGTCTTTCAATAAATTAACTGGCAACGCTGCGCTGAAATCAGCTGATTGACAACACTCGCGATTAACGATTTCGATTGTTTGGCTAAATACTTTAGTTAATAACTAAAAGTGCGGCTATTAAATAAAATTACTACGTGGGCGAGTTCTGCAAGGAGCGCGCCCACTCAGTAAAAACATTGCGACAGTGAATGACAACACATTCATTGCTGCAATACTCGTCCTCCCAATCAGGATTTATTATTGCCGGCTTATTGCATTGATCTCGCGTACATTTCTGTACAGCAGCCGCTTCTGTTAACAATTGGATTTGTTCTGATGGCGGCGGCGTCGTTGACGTTGGTATTCCGCTGCTGTTAATGGGCTCTGCGGCAGCAGCAACAGCAGCAATTGCCGGCGTCTCTTCCTCGGTTAGTAGCGACGACTGTTCGTATGATGTTGCTGTTTCTGTTGTTGTTGCTGTCCCTGTTTCGCCTAATTGCTGATAGCGCTGATAATCGCGAACTTGTCGCATATATTCGCGCTTTTCCAGCTCATGCCGCTGATCGTAGACGTTTTTCTGCTTCTCATCGATTGACTCCCACATGTTGTGCGCTATCGCTGTAATTTGCTCCAGCGTACAAGCGGGATTCTGTTGCTTAATTGCCGTCATTGTGTCGCGAAAGAAGAGCGCATATGGAGCTAAAGGTTTAGATGGAGCCTGAGTCTGTTGTTGTTGCTGCTGCTGTTGATGTGACTGTTGTGGTAACAGCTGCTGTTGCTGTTGCTGCGCTGTTGTTGGCAATAGATTGTGACTGTTACTGTATACGCTGTTTGTTTCATAGTGCTGCTCCATGTGCCCATTCTCATCGTCACCCAGCGTGGAATGATCGAAACTGCTGAGTCGACTGATGCGACGTGACTGAAAAAACAAACAAACAGTAAAAGTACAATTACAAATTCGTTTTTTTTGCTGTTTTTGGGGAAAACGCTCACTAGTAACTTCTTCATCTTAGATGCGCGTTTATCAATTGAAATTCGAAATTGAAATCAAATCAGAAGCAAAACTGAATTATTATTATTCGCACCGTCAGCTATAACATTAGACAGTGGTATGCGTATGTTTGTTTGTACATGTGCTTTTTTGTGCATAACGCACACGTATTGCTTGCTGCTCGCTGTTGGCTACGGAGGCGCATATGGCTCTGGCCAGAGCACCACTCAGCAGCGGCAGTTCCAACCTACTGATTGTATATGTATGTATGTTTGTATGTATGTATGTATGTGTGTGTTTGTTTATTTCTGCCTGGCTTTTCTAGGTGTGTGTGTGTGCGCGTGTGCATGTGTGTGCGTGCCTGTGTTTGTTGATAAGCAAGCGTTTGCTTTTAGCTGATTGTTGTTGGTTTGTATCGATAACCCTTATGCGCTTACTGATGCCATCATCTGGTGCTATATACACAAACTCAAAACACGCACACAAACACACACACATGCAAACACAGACACTCACTCACAGCAAATGACAGTGGTAAAGCTCCACTTGAGCGATTCCAAATCGACCATTATAAAACAATTATCAACTGATATCCAGTTGGCGTAGCCCATTCATTAACTCAGATGTATGCATTCAATGGTAAAGAAAACATATTCGTTTCAGTTCAAGTTTTGTTGTTGGTCGTAAACGGTGCATTTTTTTTTTGGTTTGGTATTTTTTTATCCGCTCCAGCTGCAATCTTTAATGGTTTTATTAAACACAGTGCGACAATAAGTCATTTAAATTGAGCCGTTAGAAAAGAACAAGACTTAACAGAAAGCGACAGGTAGATTGGCATATCTGACCTGGCGCTCATCTTGACTTGGAGCAGCTCCTCGCTCCTTGTTGGAGCTCTCTTCATTCACTTACAGCATTTTGTTGTTGTTGTTGTGTCGTCTGTTCCAGGGGCGTTTCATTCATCTCGAAGACTTCGTCGCCGAAGGAGGGCGTGTGAAATTGATTCATTGCTTGGGTCAATTTCGTTCAGATTGTTCTTTGTTTTCGATAATAAACAAAAATATATATTTGTTTCTTAGCGTGGATTTCTTCTTGTGTTGTCCAGCTGTGGTGATTTGTAAGTGTTGGGCAACTGCGCCCGGTTCATTGGCACACATTATCTAGCAGTGTGACCAGCTTGTGGCAGCTAAACAAATACAAAGCAAATGGCAACATTTCTTGATTTATAGCACGTTTTTATTATGTGAATGTTTTGCAACACCGACAAGCAGTAGGCTCCTTATTTAAATACAAATTTACTCTTTAATTTATTTTCATGTTTTGGAACTAAATTTGCTAATGTAAATATTAAAAAGCTATGTCAGCTTGTAGCACATTTAAATGTGCATCGTTATTCCTTAATTCACGGCCACAAATTAAGTGTTTCAGTGCGGCCAACAAAAGTGATGGGAGCACTGGACAAGAATCCGCAAAAATAAATGTCTTTAAATGTTCCAAGCATAAAAGCTACTCCAATAGTTTTGTCTGCGGTGCTAATGCAAAATATATGGAAATTCTTTTCTCAAAATGGATTCATGATCCTAATTCAGTGCAAACGGTATGAAAGTGGTATTAACAATTGTTAAAACAATCGTAATATTATTTCATTCTTCACAGTCATGGCAACTATATTTTACTGACATTTTAAGGAGCAGCGACAATTTAAACAAAAAAAATGCAATTAAAGAATTTGTGGAAACCAAACCAAAATTCGATAATCTCCCAGAATCGACCGCTGATGATGTGACTCAAAGGCCCCCCTTGCAAGGATCGGATTGTGTGCTAGGACATATAATCTTAAGTCCACGAGAAGAGGTAAATTCCACATCCACAGATGCCCCAGATGAATTGATACAGCACATATCTAAACCAAAAATACGACCATACAATACAAAAAATAACAGCACTTTCAATAAAAATAATGCTGGACATGTCGAAGTTATGAAAAGGGTGAAGGCTGCTCTCGAAAAGGAACCATTTAGCACCAGGCGCGACTATATCAAAAAACAGCTGAAACTTATAGAGAAGAAAAAATGGCGAAAGCCTTTGGAATTTAAGAAAGGGAGTGATAAAATTATTTTGGAATATCGCAAGCCAAGGGAAAAGCCACAAAAATAAAAATAGAACCCGACAGCAAGCAAAGAAAAGAAATGTTATAGCTATTTTTAGGATCCGATTGCCCACTTTTTGATATATATTATCAGAAATTGTCATGTTATGAACAACTTGACAAATCAAATTCTCCTGAGTCAATAAAGAAAAATGCTCGACAGTAAATAGTTTCAAAATTTATCAGATTCTCAAAATTTTAAATAGACTTCTCTTATTTTGCGTACAAAAAACCATGAATCTTAGCAATGCCAAACTTGGACATGTCATATTTTCCAAGAGTCTGGGATATGAATATGGGTGCCATAATAAGACCCGTCGGAGTTTGCAAGTTGCCGCCACTATATTTGCAGGCCAAATTAATCCAGGAGCTTATTTCGATAGCCTGGCAAATGGGAGCAACGCCGTTTACATCGACAGATTGTACTCCAAGTGGTGGAAGAATCCCAGCTCCGTGGATGAGGTAATACTGTGGTCAGTACTAATAAGCCTATTTCAATGCTGAGCATTCCTTAGTCCTGGGATGCGTATTTTAAGGGCAAGTCACGAGACTTTTCCACTCTGTCTAAGCCCAAAAAAAAGGAATCGAAGCCTACGGCGAACGCATCACGGAGTGTCTCGGCCACCGCTGGAACTGCAACAGCTGCTCCGAATGCTGATTGGAAATACATAGATGATCATTTGGCTGTACAGGCCATAATCCGAGCTTATCAAACGCGTGGTCATCTCGCTGCTGATCTGGATCCGTTGGAGATTGTGGGTCCAACGGGTCATTACTTATCCATCGATGACAGGAAATTACAGGCAACACGAGCTGTGCTGCGCCAGCATTATTCCTATTCCTTCAGTAAGATATATATTATGCGAAATCTGTTCGTTTTACCTGCTGATCCTTTTACAGATGATTTGAATGCTCTGTTCAAGCTTCCAATATCCACATTAATTGGTGGCAATGAGCAATTCCTGCCACTTAAGTAAGTATTCCTTGAGAAAACATCAAAAAACATCCTACAAATTGCATTGCTACTCTAGAGAAATTTTGGAACGCTTGGAGCGTGTTTATTGCGGTCATATTGGTGTGGAATACATGATGATCACATCATTCTTTAAAAGCAACTGGATACGTGAGCATTTCGAGAAGCCCGGCTCTATGAATTTCACAGCCGATGAGAAGAAGCTGATCCTGGAGCGACTCACACGCTCCACCGGTTTCGAGAACTTTCTGGCGAAAAAGTTCAGCTCGGAGAAACGCTTTGGATTGGAAGGCTGTGATATAATGATACCAGTCCTCAAGGAAATTATCGATCAATCAGTCAAGTCAGGCGTTGAGTCTGTCTACATTGGGATGGCTCATCGTGGCCGCCTAAATGTTCTGGCCAATATATGCCGCAAGCCGATCAAGGACATACTCTCTCAGTTCCGTACGCTTAAGGCCAGGGATTGGGGTTCCGGTGATGTGAAATATCATCTGGGTGTGTTCAGTGATCGACTGAATCGATTCAATAACAAAAACGTTCGGATCACCGTTGTGGCGAATCCATCGCATCTGGAGTTTGTCAATCCGGTGGTGTTGGGTAAGGCACGTGCCGAAATGTATCATCGTGGCGATTACCGGGGCAACAAAGTGCTGCCGATTATGATGCACGGAGATGCCTCCTTTTGTGGCCAGGGCGTTGTCTACGAGTCCATACATTTGTCGGATCTGCCTGCCTACACCACGCATGGCTCCATTCACGTGGTGGTCAACAATCAGGTGGGCTTCACCACAGATCCACGTTTCTCGCGCTCCTCGCGCTACTGTACGGATGTCGCTCGTGTCCTCAGTGTACCCATTTTCCATGTCAATGCCGATGATCCGGAGGCGTGTGTTCATTGTGCTCGCGTTGCCGCCAAATGGCGGGCGAAATTCCACAAGGATGTGGTCATTGATATTGTCGGCTATCGTCGCAATGGCCACAATGAGGCAGACGAGCCAATGTTCACCCAGCCCCTAATGTATCAGCGCATTCGCAAGATGAAGCCCTGCACGATCAAGTATGCCGATCGACTAGTCAAAGCTGGTGTCATTAAAATGGAGGACTACACTGCAATGGTCAGCAAGTATGAAAAGCTCTGTAATGATGCCTTCAAGGAGTCCAAGAAGATCAAAACATTTAAGGTGCAGTTGTAGCTGGCCTCGAATCAATTTCTAATGCTTTCTTTCCCTTTTTGCAGAATTCGCACTGGTTGGATTCACCGTGGTCAGCCTTCTTTCAGGGTCGGGATCGTCTCAAGATGTGTCCAACGGGTGTTAATCTCAAGGTAATCGAACATATTGGAAACGTTTACTCCTCACCGCCGCCTCCAGAGCAAAAGTTCGATTTGCACAGGTGAATTATATGCAATAGTTTGATATCAAATCCTTGATTCGATATTTGCAGGGGTATTATGCGTATCTTGGCAATGCGTAAAAAGATGATGGAGGAATGTATGGCGGATTGGTCGTTGGGCGAAGCGTTAGCGTTCGGTACACTAGTTAAGGATGGGATACATGTGCGTCTGTCCGGGCAGGATGTGGAGCGTGGCACCTTCTCGCATCGCCATCATGTGCTGCATCATCAGTCTAAGGATCGACAGAGCTACAATTCGCTTCAGTTTCTGTATCCCGATCAGGCCGAGTATTTCGTATGCAATAGTTCCTTGTCGGAGTGTGCGGTCATGGGTTTCGATCTGGGCTTTTCGATGGCCAATCCCCGTACGCTTGTCATTTGGGAGGCGCAATTTGGTGACTTTGTCAATACAGCTCAGCCGATTATCGACCAATTTTTGGCCAGCGGTGAAACGAAGTGGGTGCGTCAATCTGGTCTTGTTCTCTTCCTGCCACATGGCATGGAGGGCATGGGTCCGGAACATTCCTCGGGTCGCATTGAACGCTTTCTGCAGCTCAGCGACGATGATCAAGACTGCTTTCCGGATCTGTCCGATCCTGACTTTGTTGCCCGCCAACTGTTGGCCGTTAATTGGTTTATCACGAATGTGACGACGCCAGCGAATCTCTTCCATGCGCTGCGGCGTCAGGTGGCCCTCGGTTTTCGTAAGCCTCTCATCAATTTTACACCTAAGTCGCTGCTGCGTCATCCGTTGGCAAGGAGTCCTTTCCAGGACTTTGACGAATGCAGCTCGTTCCAGCGCTGCATTCCCGAAACGGGTAAGGCAGCAGCGAGTCCTGATTGTGTGGAGAAGCTCATTTTCTGCTCCGGAAAAGTCTATTACGATCTGCTCAGAGAGCGCGAAGATCACCAGCAGGAAGAAACCGTAGCCATTGCAAGGCTGGAACAGGTAAATTTCAAGTGCATTTCAAGTGCCTATATATCTATGCATCTCCACTGCAGCTCTGTCCGTTCCCCTACGATGCTGTTGTCACGGAGATTGAAAAGTATAAAGCCGCCGAGCTGATCTGGCTGCAGGAGGAGCACAAGAATCAGGGCGGTTGGCCCTATGTTAAACCACGCTTCGACACAACGCTTCTCAATATCGATAATGAAAAGTAAGCGACATTTTAGCTATATATTTATCTATTTATTTACTCAGCTCAGATTTCATGTCTGTCTATGTATTTAAGAGTTGGCAGCTATTTTTGCTGCACTCTATGGCTTTTTGTGCTGATAAAGAGAAACGGTTCTCTAAATGCCAAGGTGCTTAATCAGACCTTGGGCTACTGCCGCCACACACCGATAGATACAGCTGCAGCGATAATGATTCAGGTGCGATGCGACACGCCGTGCCTTCAAAGTGTCCATCGATGCCGCGCTTCTCGTGGTTTTCGGTGACGATCGATTGCAATGATTCAAAATGGCGTCAGGCGTTTGGCGTTCGGCGTTTGGCGTTCGGCGTCTGGCGTCGGCCATCGGGCATGACGCCATATCGGGCGGGCGTCCTCATCGGTGTCTTCGTTGACACCAAAGAGCAACTCGCTGATTTTTCACTTTAATCGATTTTCGAACGCGTCAAAAACCGAAACGTGTGCCAAACATCCGTCCGTCGCTCCCAAAAAGAATACAAACTATTAGATCAAGTAAGACCAAGTGTATACCCTGTACTTGAACTGAGGCAGGTATCAGTCGTGACTTTTGCTCAATTCATTTTAAAATTAGACCCCAAAAAAAAGCATTTCGACAGACATCAATTTGTAACAAATTATCAGAAAACTCAGAAACCAATGATTTTTAACCATGATTTCATCTCGAGAATAATTCGACATTTCATGTTGGAATCGCTTTGTTAAACATGATCAGAATTAATATTCATATAAGAAATCTTCTCAGAATATCCACATTAGGCTGTTCTCACATTTTCCACTGCAAAAATCTGAAATCCACCGTTTTCCACTGCAATAACTTTCTCCAAATTAAAGCAATTTTATTTGGAATGTTTTGTCGTTCATAAGTGTTACACACCTACTCATACATTGATATACCTGTCCTGCACGTTTACTGTTTACAGGGTATACACAAAATAAAAGAGAAACATTTGAAGGCTGATCTCCTGCCCCATTAGATTTATATAAAATACGCGCATTGTGTAAACACACGATAATATTTTACGTCAAATTGATGTCTGCTTTTTTCTAGCAGTTTTCTAGCGCGAGCTCTCTCGAAAATTGTTATGTATTTGTATATTTGACTTGGCATTGCCAAAGTTCAGACGCATCGTGTGATTCCTCGTTATTTCCCTACATTTTTGCTGAGTAAGCTACGCAAATATGCCCTGCCTGACGCCATTTGATGGCGATAAATTGCAGTATGTTCGCAACTTGAAGGCTCCAATAATTCTTCTTCAATTTGCTCTTTGGTTTTTTGCGTTGTTAGTAATTAGCCTGACCTCGCTTTGGTAGATATGCACTTTGAAACAAATTGCGAGACATTTGATGTGGATGTTGATGCCGATGCGCCGAATGTGAATGTGAATGTGGATGTGAATGTGAATGTCCATGTCGCTGTCGCATGAAACTAGCGCAAGGAACTTGGCACAGTTTTTAGTCGGCGTTTGATACTAAACAATCCCCCCTGCTATCTCTCAACCCCAACGGCCATCCACACAAATCCCAAATTGATCTTGTAGCTGCCCGGTTTCTATATTGAATTTAGCGATTTGCCGTTGCCAGTTCTCTTTGTGTAGACATGTTTTGAATGTGGCTCGCACAAAAACTACATTAAATTTAATGTAGCGACATATATGCGATGGTCCTCCTAATAGTCGGCAAGTGGTTCGCAAGATTTGTGCGCTGATTTATGGAAATATTTTATGCTCTCAGAAGTGCCACAAAAGTTTGTTTCCCTAAATGTGTGAAGGCCTCGCTACAAAAATTCCTAGACGTGTAGCTCAACTTCTCTAAATTGCTGAGTGTTTCAAGTTATTTTTTAATAATTTGCCATATTCAATCTAAATTTGTACATGTTTTAAACTTTTCGTATATTCAATCTTAACTTTTTCACTTATTTTGCAAATGCAAACATTAATTTCATTGATACAGAAACAGATACATAATTCATATTCATGCGTCATTTTTGTTAATATTTAATAATTTTAATGTGCAATGCTTGAGGGATTTCCCACACTATTTGGCTCTTTATCTTTCGATATGATTCTCAATCAGCATGAAATTGCTTATGTCTCTTGTTGCAATTTGTTAATGTATTAAATACATATATAAAGCATATATTATTAATCGCGTCCCGTCGAGCTGCCAGCCACGAAAAATTGAATGAAAAACCCTGCACACAAAGACGCGCTGTTAAATCCCAGGAATGTAGCATATTTGCACACACACTCACAAATATGTCATATACAATAAGTATCTATACAAACAGAGAAGATATGTGTTTATGTCATATAAGTACTATATATATAAATACTATATATATATATTTTCATGTAGAAATGCCTTTGCTGTTCTGTGCTCTTGTGCGAAAGGCAAGGCAATAATAATTTTTGAGGGATTTCTCGAGCAGAAAGCGCCAAACGCCTTGGCCATCAATTATGAGAAATGCTCGAGTCCGAGAAATCAAGGCAAAAATGTTTAGCTCCTCTGTTTTTTTTTTTTTGTTTCTTCTGTCGCCGTTTTTATTTTTGCAATTTTTTTTTTTGGTTTTTTGGTTTGTTTGTTTTTGCGTGCATTACGCCAAATTTTTATTAATGGCACGCATTTTTGTTGTTGGCACATAATATGTTGATGGAGTGGGCGGAGGATATGTCAGAATTTATAGATAAGATATAGCAGAGCCGGGCATAGCCATATGGCCAATGACTATTTTTAAGAAGACGACCCTGTCGGGCGAAGAGGCGCTAAAATAATAATCGAGAATGGGAACAGGTCAGAGATCTGATGTTTTGTATAAAGCTCGTGCATGTTTTGATTTTATTCATTCATTTTTCAATAGTATATGGTACATATACAAATCTATAAATATAAGCCGAAAACGCCACAATCCGAAGCGAAAATGAAGCACACAGCTCTCAAATAAACAAACTAATAAAAATGTTTATGAGTAATTGAATTTTTGAATTCTTGCCGATGTTGTTCTTGCTGATGATCGCAAAAGTGATGATGTAAATAATCCGAAATGTGCATATTTGAAATATTTTGGTTTTCTTTATTACAAATTTATATTTATATATATTTTTTTCATCAATTTCTTAAAATGTAAACTAAACATTTAAAACGAAAGGCAACGTGAAATTTTATAACAAATTCGTTACTATTTTGAGGCACACTCGATTTGCACTTGTTGCTTTTTTTTTGATTGTTGATTTTCCAAACGAGTTGAAATCTTTGGAATAATTTACGTACATATAATACATAGAAATCTAAGGCATTAACACTAGGATAAGCTATACTAAACAGTTATTTACAGGTTTATATAGTACACATAAGACTAGCTATACAATTAACTGAATGTCATACTTGAGATCCTCAAAAAATTCCATTGCGAAATTTCTCAATTCCACTCAAAAGGAGAGGACGACGATCGTAACTTGTGGGAACACACCACACTTACACACAACTTACAACTTACAACATTATACAGGATTGGGTTTGCGCTCGTTTCCCTTTTAGACCATATTCCATATGCTATAGCTGCGCGCTCGACGCTCCTCCTCCACAACCTGTTCGTATTCGATATCCAGGTATTCCTTGCCAACGAATTTCACCTTACGTCCGGTGTACTTCTTAATATAGCTGATGTGGGCCGGCACTTCCTTGCCCTCAATCTCCAGCTTATACGAAATGCTGGTAATACGCTCCAAGACTCGTCCACGTTTCCAGCGCACTTGGGTCTTTCGATAACGCTCTGCATATAGCACCAAATCTCCGATTTTATATTCACGCACATGCAGGCAGGATTTGAGGGGTTTTGCCGGCTCCGTCATCGGTTCGGGCTCCACATCATCCTCATCATCTGTTACATAGGCAATGGCTTTCTCTATTGTCTCAATTTCGGGCACCTTCGGCTCCTCGGGCTCCTGCTGTATGAAGAATGTGTCGCCAATTGAAAGTTTTCGCTTCTGTCGTTTTATTATGACTTTCTTTTTGATTTGTCGCGGTTTCTTGGGTTTTGGCTCTGGTTCCGGCTCCGCTTCCGGTTGCTGCTCAAGTTCCAGCTCGAGTTGCGTTTCGGTTGTGCTTTCTTCGAAAACTTGAGCATTTTCCTGCTGCTGCTCCTTCTCCTGCTCATCGGTTGCTCCTGCCTGTTCCTTTGTTGTTGTTGCTGTTGTTGTTGGTGTTGCCTTCGATTGTTTTTTGGGTGGCGTTAACTTGTTGATTCTGTCCGCTTGACTGGCAATTCTGTTTTTATCCTTGAGTATGGAGCTCAGTTTGATGGCGTCCACCACCTTCTCCTTGCCCTTGTCTATGGAGCTCTTACGCACGAGTTTCTTTAGATTTGGCGACTTCTTTTTGGCCACAACCAAGTCGGATTCATCGTGCGGCTGTTCAACCGTCTCAATTTTAACGGGCTGCACAGGACCCGCAAGTACTTTCAGCTCCGGCATGGCAATTAGACTGTTGTTTTGTTGCGCCTGTGCGTTGTCTTTTGTAGCTACTTGCTCTTGTTGTTGTTGCTGTTGTTGCTGCTGTTGTTGTTGTGGCGATGACTCTTCGTGTGAGACTTCGCTCAATGTCGCTGCTATTTGTGTCGTCGTCGATGTCGTCGTCGCTGCGACGGGGGCGACTTCAATGTCAACGGCAACAACCACCTGTTGTTCTGCTTGTTGTTCTGGCGGGGCAATTGATTTCTGATTAATGGGTTCTTTGGACTGGCTTAATGAGCTGCTGATTGTTGCCGCTGCAGTTGAGTTTGTGTTAATGTCCTGTGTGCTTGTTGCGGTTGCTGTTGTTGCTGCTGCTGCTGCTGCTGCTGGCACCACCAGCACCGTTTCACCCACCAATTCAGCTAGTTTCAGGCTGGCGCGTCTGCTCGGCTCGCTGGCTGCTGCTTGATTGTCATTCACAGCATCGATTGACAATTGTTTTGGCGCCGTTGGCACAATTGCTGTTGTCGCTTCGCATAATGTTGTTGCTGCTGTGGTTGCTGCTGCTGCTGCTGGCGCTGCAACTGCCTGATTCGCGCTCTTGGCAATTGTTGCTGGTGTTGCTGTTGCGCTTTTGGCAGTGGTCGCATTGTTGTTGACCTTTGCAGTTACAACTTGTTCATTTATCGTTGTCGCCTCTTGTTCTTGCTTTAGCTGTTGATCTTGCAACTGTTGCCCCTCATTGCTTCCGCAAACGGTTGCCGCAGCGCTGCTGGTCGTTAATTTTAGCTTCTTCTTGCGTTTGACAATCGCTTCCGAATCGGAGGGTCGCCTTTGTGTCAATACATCGATATGCACCGGCTCAGCCTTAATCTTCGATGGCTCCACGGCGGCAATCGATGCACGTCGCGGATTTTTCACTTTGACAATGACTTTCTTTTTAGTCGCCTTGGTTGGCTCTGCTGCTGTGTCTGGTTGCGTGGCCGACTCTTTGGGCAATGCGGCTGTCAGCGGTGTTGCTTCCATTGCCTCCACAGGATGGGGTTGTTCAGTGGTTGCTGTCAGAGTCGCTGGTGGTCCAACAACTGCTTTAGCTGCAGTAGCTGTAGCTGTTGGTGGAGTTGCTGTCTTTTTGGTCAGCTCTTTGGCTGCTTTTGCTTCTTTTGGCCCTTTTTCCTCTTTTGGCTCATTTGACTCTTTTGGCTTGGGCTTGGATTTGAGTTCGCTTTGCACCTTAGCTAGAAATTCAATTTTGGCTTGGACCTTTGGTTTTTCTAAAGGCTTAAGTTTCAGCTTTGAGGTTCGCTCCTGTTCCTCTTGTGTTTGCTTTGTTGCCTGCTCCTGTTCTTCAGTGACTTTGCTCGTTCCTATTGGTTTTTTCTGCTCCTCATTGACTTTGCTTGGGATCGCAACTTCTGTTGATTTTGTCTGATCTTCAATGACTTTTGAAGGCGTAGCAGCTTCAGTCAGTTTCAACTGCTTCTCATTGTCCTTGCCCGCTGCGGTAATTTCAATGGGCGTTCTCACATCCTCAATGACTTTGCTCTGAGTTGAACCTTCTTTAGATATTTTCTGATTCTCATTGACTTTGTTTGCTGTGGCTAATTCATTTGGTTTCTTATCTTCTTCATCGATTTTACTTTGCCGTACTGCATCTATTGGGTGCTTCGAATCCTCAGTAACGTCAGTTTTTGTAATAGATTCAGCTGGTTTCTTCTGGTCTTCAGTGGTCTTTATTGTTGCCTCAACTGCAGCTCGCTCTTTGACCTCAACCTCCTGGATCGGGACCTTGGTTATGGCCAGGCTTGCAGCATCCTTTGCCTCCTGCTCCTTTTCCTTCTCCTCTTCCGTCTCATCGAAGTAGCTACGCCTGCGAACTTTCTTAACAAATCGAAATTGCACAGGTTGTTTCTCCGCCTCCGTTTCCGTCTTCGCCACTGGAGCTGACGCAGCATCTGATGCAGCTGCTGATGCAGTAGCTGACGCTATAGATGACGCTGAAGCTGACGCAGTAGCTGACGCAGTAGCTGACGCAATAGCTGACGCAGAAGCAGATGCTGACAGAGGAGCTGATGCTGACGCAGACGCAGACGCTGACGTTGTTGGTCCCATCCATTTCTCTCCGGCCGCCTCCGCTTCACTCTCTGTGCTGTACTGTTTTAGTACACCTTTGACTTCGCTCAACGCACCCGAAATTCGCTCTTTTAACTTGTTCAGACGCTGAACAACATCCTCGGGCTTCTCCTCCACCGACTCCTGGGAGCGCATGCGTCGCTGACGTCGCAAAAGTGTACGCTGCGGCAGCAAGGATTCCACATCGATCGAGACTGCATCACGACTTGAGGAGCTCCGCTTTAGTTCGCCAAGGAGTGGACGCGGAGATGTGGTTGTCGTCGGTGTGGTCACATCACGTATACGTGTTATTGACGCTGGCGTGGGAGCAACTGTTGCTGTTGTCAAGGGTGCTGTTGTTGCTGCTCGATTGTTGCTCGAGAAACGATTCGATAGCGTTTCTGGCAAGCGCGTTGTGCTCTTCAGCATTTCGTATTTCATGTCGCTGTTGTTGTTGCTGTTGCTGCTGTCGTTGTCGTTGTCGTTGATGCTATTGTTGTTGTTATCATCCAGTTCAGCTGACTGCTGCTCAATATGCTCGCTATAAATGTCAACAACGACGGCTGCTGTTGCTTCACTATCGTCACTCACTTTCGTCACCGTCATGTCCGCACATTCATCAACCACCACCTGCTCCTCCACCAATGGTACGCTCCAAATATTACCCGTGCTTGTCGGCGTGGCAATCAATTGCACAAGCTCACCCAATAGATCAATCAAAGCGAGATCAACGACGAGAGGAGGAACACTGCTCGAGCTTTCGTCTAGCAACGCGCAACCCGCACACTTTAAGTATTCTATATTCGACGACGATAACGACGACGACGACGACGCTTCCTCGTTTTCGGTTTGGATTACGTTCGCTTTGAGATGCCACTTTTGCTCTTGACCATCCACTTGCTCTGTCGACGATCCGCGCTCGTCTGATGATTGTCGATTGGAGGCATTTGTTGTTCGCTCGGCTATTGTTTGACTTTCCTGCTCACTGGCTAAGCATATTGACTGTTGGTGTTGCTGTTGCTGCTGCTGCTGTTGCTCTTTAGTCATATTTAGCTCATTATGAACAGTCGCCGTCGTCTCTAATTTGCTTTGCTCGCATATTTCGCGTTTATTTTTGGCAGTACCCACGTCGTCGTTGCCTTCGTTGTTGTTGTTGTTCTTGTGGTCGTGTCGCCACCCAAAGGCGTCATTAAAATTTTCCGCCGGTTGATGCTCGATTTCCTTTTGTACGCCAACAACGCCTTCAGCTTGTCCCACGTTCAAGTTTAATGTTTGTTCGTGATCATTGAGTTCATTATCAAATGCCGTCGACTTATGTACATCACCATCATCATCATCATCATCATCGTCAACATCCACATCCACATTCATATCCATATACAGATCCATGTCTATTTTAGTGCTCATATTGTGGCTCCTGTGCGTCACCGTTGTTTGTGTTGTTGCTGGTGTGGGGACCACATCCGTTGCCTCGCTTTCTTGTCCACTTCCATGCTGATTCTTACAGGTTTGCCGCCGATTATCGCCAAAGCTGACAAATTGTTTTTTAATTGTGGGAAATTGCTTGAGTGTCGCAGACCTTGACTTTGTCAGGTGTCTTGGGCTGCTTCCCCGCTGGCTTATTGATTGAACAGAATTGTTGAAATTCCGCTTGGGTAGTTGGCAACTAAGGGGAAATTTGTGTGGCAACGATTGTTGAATCACTTGCTCGGGAAATCGAGATACTGGTGAGGGAGCCAAAATTGGGTTGTCATTGAGAAGGCTATCATTGGAAGGTGGCTGATGCATGGGAAATCTTCGTAAGGGGTTTTCACACTTTGCTTGCAGCAACGGGAATTTTCCATTCAATTCAATTTTCACATGTTGCTGCTGATGCAACAGAAGAAGTTGCTGTAGTTGTTGTTGCTGCTGGTGTGTTGAGTGACACCAAAGCGTCCTCTGTAATTGGCGCAGCGGAAATCGTTGCTCATCAACTGGCACTTCCGGCAGCGAAGAAAAGCCACTCGGTGCGGTTGTTGTTGTTGTTGACAACATGGCTGACTCACAATTATGTTTTCTGATGGCGTCAGTCAAATATTGCGAATTAAATTTATTATTATTAGCGGCTGACAGCGCGATTTGTGGTCGATCCTCCTGCCCAGATTTGCGATCTACATCATTGTATGACAACGCCCGCGCGTTGTTATTTTGATTGGTTGTGCTCTGTAGTTGACCTATTTTATTTATGTTTTCTATTTAAGAAACGCGCTGCTAATTGTTGCTGCACACAACAGCACGTTGCAACCTGAACTGGCAAAACGGGGCATCATTCTGCAGCAAGAAAATAGTCCGACAAACGTCTCCTTGTTGCTTGTTGTGGCAACAAATGCATTTACAAATGCTAAATCAATGCACATCTATCTACATACAAATTTGCCAATTAATTTGGTTTGTTTTGTAATCAGAAGCGAACTCTGAATACGCTGCAAGCAATCGAATATTTCTCTATTTGTTGCATCATTTGAAGATTTCTTTAAAATGCTCTGCCTGTTACATATTGCTCAATAAATGAAGAATACCTTTTTTATGTTTACAAATAGAAAACATATCTAGATTTGTGTTGCTCTATGTAAGATTCATTGTGTCTGCAACTATAATATATGTTTATTTTTATATAGTATGCACGCTCGACTATATAGACTAGATAAATGTGTCAGCTTGCCAAATTGCTTTTTAGCAATCCACAAAAAAGAGGAAAAATAGAAAAGAAAAATGGGCAAAGAGTAGAATTAAAAAAGCCACTCGTGCCAAGCAGCGCTACGATCCCATTGTTTGAATATAACAGTAGATATATGCATATAAGAAGTTCACAATATATATGCTGATATATCAAACAATTTAGAATTCTATATAGGCACGAGTGTTTGAATGCCACCTTGCCAAATTGTGCCGCCTGCGATACATTAATAATAGCGACCCCAATTTTTATTTCACGCTTGATCACTTTTTAATAATGTTGATCTGCTGGCAATTTACAGGCGCTGCATTGTTTATCGTGGACGATTACCAAATTCGGCATCAGCCACTGGCAATAAAGTACAGCATTATCACGAATACAGAGAGTACATGACCAGTGTTTTCGGCGGACTCACAGACGCTAATAAGGCGCGACTCAAGGCCATTAAGAACGAGAAGCAAAAGAGCGCGAAGCACAAATCCGAGGCTAGCTTGGCGAAGGCCAAGTCTAAGCAAGCCGCAAAGAAGGCAACTTCATCGTCAGAAAAACCTTCAGCAAAAGAACCCAAAAAAGTATCCTCAAATGAAACCAAACAAGCACCGCCAACTGACGAACCAAAACCGACAGAAGAACCCAAAAAAGTATCCCCAAAAGAACCGAAACAAGCAGCCCCAACTGACGAAGCTAAACCAAAACGGGCAGCAAAAGCGTCAGAAAAACTACCAAAAACTATTAATATAGTTAGAGAAGTGGTTATTAAACCTGTGAAATTTCCATCTCCAACTAAGAAGCATAGAAATGATGAAGATTCAGCAGCTAAGACAACCAAAGAAGCGCCAGACGATCCTTTCGAAAAATAGTACGTATTATATTCTCCAATACAGTATTGAGTCGTTTGTTTATAAATAAAACTCTGTTCTTATATTTGAAATAATTTAATAAAAATGCTTGCTTTTTAAATCTATTAACATCTCTGTGCTTTGCAATATGCACTTTCAGCTTATAATACAATTAATGAATCGCTCAACACTGTTTCCAATAATTCGGATTCTGTTCCATGCGCCGCTGAAAATTCGTATACCAATTTTGCACCACAGAGAAAGGCACAAATGTTTCAGTTGTGGCGGGTGGAATTTCAGGCACGTTCACACAAAAGCTCGAAGCGTAATTGAAGAAGTTCTCCAACATGCGCTGCCCGAATTGTTTATTATCATTGGCGCTTGACTGCAAGGGAAGTGTGTGATTAGTAGTGGTATTGATACCTGGTATGGTATGGAAATGAGGACTTACAACTGCTGGGGTTTGTTGTGCCACAGTTAGCTCGGGCTCAATGGAAATGCCTATTTGTGCTATATGCGAAATTTCCTGGGCGCCAAAAACCATGCCATTGCCATGTGCGTCCAGTTCGTGGCCTTTTTTGAGCTGCGCTATTTTAAATATTGCCGATGGTTTATTGTTATTGATGTGGCCCAGATATTGCCAGGTGGGCGCTGCATTTGCATCGGGCCAGCTGAAGTAAATCGCAGCTGCTGTGCCCAGTGGAAGGGGCGAGATGCCAGTTAAAAAGACTACAACATAATTGACTGCTTCAATGTCGGGCACGTTGATCAGCAGTTTGTTCTCATCGACCGCTACAAAGTCTGTTTGTGGCTGTATTAATAGTAGGTAATTCCATTACATATGCATTAAATACAAGTCATATGGTAATACTCAGCAAGTCATAGGTACAAGTCATATGGTATACTTACCAATCTGCCTGAACTTATTAAACCAAACATTTTGGCCGGCTTCGGTCTTTTCTGGAATAAATAGAGCTTGTGCCATTCACATGGCAACGCCAACAGCTGACAACATGTTGTTTTGGTTTGCACTTTTGGTCACACTGAAACCTCAGCCCCTTAGAATCATCGACTCGGATGCGATGTATCGATATTTAGTGCGTTTCCTACCAGCGAATTAGACTTTAGTATTTGTTTTTGCATAAAGTATGGCCGGACTATTACAGCTAAGAAAATTGTACAGTAAAAAGAAGACACTTTCCTACACTTTCCACATTAAATGCCACAATCCACTTGGCATACAAGGCCAATCGCGTGTGGTAAGTAAAAATCAAGATTTCAAGGCCACACTCTGGTAGATAAAGTTTCCCAGATTACGATTTCATAAGTTTATTGAATGATTAGAACAAAAGCAGCGCAGATTAGTTGCATATGCTGCGGCTAATTAAAAAAACAAAGAGGTCAGGCAACAATATGCGTGTGTGTTGTTTTGGCCCCTTTTGTAGACCCGAGTAGATTTAACGCTGCTTCTTTCGTTGCAGCTAGCAAAACTCACCTCAAGGCATTAAACGGGCGCCAAAACAGCACACACATACACGAAAATGGGACGCACACAGCGCCAGCGCCGGCGTCATTCTCGCCCAGCAGCTGATACGCAATTAGATACCCTACACGTGCTCTACAAACAACTTCATTCTCTGGGCTGGCGCAATGAAACTCAACTCTCTGCGTTTAGTTTTTCCCAAACTGGACGCGGCCTCTGCTCCAAAACACAATGTTTCCGGGCTGGGGATGAATTGATACGCCTGCCAGCTGGTTGTTTAATAAGCATCGCCACCCTGGAATCGGATGAAGAGTTTAAGGCACTTTTTGATCCGGATCTGTTTGACAAGGACTCACGCATTTCGTTTCAAGCGCTGATTGCCTGCTATCTGTTGCATCTACAACATCTGCATGAAGCTAGACAGGAATCCCCATTCGCTGCCTACTTGGATAGTCTGCCACGCAGCTATACAACGCCCTATTTCTGTGCAGTGTCGGAGCTGCAATGTTTGCCGGAGGCAATACTGGAGCGCACAGTGTCACAGAATCGTCAGATACGCGATTGCTATCAGGTGCTGAAGTCCCTAGTGGGTGCACAGCATTGCCAGTGCTGTGGTCAGCGCTACTGCGAGGAGATTTGGACACTGGCCGAGTATCGACGCGCCTATTTCGCTGTAAACAGTCGCAGTGTCTATTTAAGCTCGCGTCAACTGTATACAGGACGCAGTCATTTTCAGGAGTTGCTAAGCGGAACAAACAACCTGGCACTGGCTCCATTTCTGGATCTATTTAATCACTCGGACACGGTGCAAACCACAGCTGAGCTGCAGCTGCTGGCCAGCAGTAAATGTCAAGATTATGTGCTGACACTCGATTCTCTGGCAGCGGCTCAACTTAAACCATATGAACAACTGTTCATCAGCTATGGAGCATTACCCAATCTAAAACTACTCACCGAATACGGTTTTTATCTGAAGCGTAATGCGCACGATTACTTTGAGTTCTCGCTGCTGGACATTGAGCAGCTCATCGCGCATAATAAGGAGCTGTCTGCGCAGAGTTATCATCGCAACATCTTCAAGTTCATCAGGGAGCACAATCTAATGGATCAAATGTTTGTGCACATCAGCGAGGGCTGCTCGCATAATCTGCGCGTTGTGCTCCATCTCATCTTCAAGCAGTGCGCGCATTTTCCCAATCTGCTCAATCAGATTGCGTTTGGCGATGCCAGCCAATTCGACGATGTGCAGCCAGAGTTGTCCTATTTACTGACACACAAAATCAACGAATATCAAAGATTTGTGGCCGCACTGGAGAAGCTGCCACAGCTCACGGAAAGTGGCACGGTGGCACATGGCTACCTCTTGGAGTGCCTACGCTATCTGCACGACTTTGAGTCAACACATTGCGCATCTAATAATAACTAAAATACAAACAATAAAGTACAAATTTGTTATTAACAAAAAATTGTTAGTTATTTATTATAAATATATATATTTTGTTTGTCTTGCAGCTATATGCCACGATCGCCAGCACCGATGATGGCAAGCGCAAAAGGATAACGCCGTTTACGCCCACACCGGGCAGCAAACTGCTTGGTGGCGTGTTTGCCAAGAAGGCAAAAGGTAGGTGTTCTTAGTTAGTTGGTGTGTTTAACAGAAAATGTTTCTAAAAACTGTGACAAAGCGCAAAAATAATGCTTTTTTTATTAATTAAGTTTTGATTGCATTTTGATTTTCAAAAATATGACTAACAGATTGATTTTGTTTTTGTTGTTGTTAACTGAGTCACTGGCTGCAAGTTGAAAATACACAAGCACAAAAAAGCTAGTTTGTTTGTCTGTTCGTTTGTTGTGTTGGCGCCTGCTTCGATTTAGCCGCATTAAAGTCAATTCAACGCGGTTCCAGTGCTGAATCAACAACAACAACAAAATCGACTGTCGACACAACAGCAACAATCAAGAAATTGTCACGTTCATATAGGCAGCGGCGGCAACGATGGTGGCTCAACACTGGGCAAACTGGACGCACCGGAAGTCACCTCCAAGGATATGGTGCGCGCCATGATGGCATACATTTGGCCCAAAGAGGATGCGCTCGTGCGCAAACGGTAACGAATGTTCAAAATGCTTGAATCTTAACCCTAACTATTCATCAACAGCGTGGCCATCTCGCTGGGTCTGCTCGCTGGCTCCAAGCTGCTGACAGTGTGTGTGCCATTTCTATTCAAAGGCGCTGTGGACACGATGACGACACTGAACATGGATACAGCGCCGGATGTTGTGCTATCCACAGCAACGGCAATGCTATTGGGATGTGAGTACATCAATTAACATTTGGGACTCTATTTAATGCTACGGTTTCTTTTGCAGATGGCATTGCTCGAGCAAGTGCCGCCGGTTTCAATGAGCTGCGCAATGCAGTGTTCGCCAAGGTGGCTCATCATTCCATACGCAAGATTGCGACCAATGTGTTTCTGCATCTGCACAATCTGGACTTGGCGTTCCATCTGAACAAGCAGACGGGCGCCTTGTCCAAGACAATTGATCGGGGATCGCGTGGCATTAACTTTGTGCTCACTGCCATGGTGTTCAATATAGTGCCGACGATTTTTGAGCTGGCGCTGGTCTCCAGCGTTTTGGGCTTGAAATACGGACTGGCGTTCGCCGGCGTCAGTATGGGCTGTGTGGGCGTGTATGCCTTGTATACACTAAGTGTGACACAGTGGCGAACACGCTTCCGGGTGTACATGAATCAGGCGGAGAACGAGGCGGGCAACAAAGCCGTCGACTCGCTGATCAACTACGAGACGGTGAAGTATTTCAATAACGAAAAATATGAAGCTGGCTGCTACAACGAGGTGCTGAAAAAGTACGAGGCGGCCAGCTTAAAGACCAGCTCCAGTCTGGCGATGCTTAATTTCGGACAGAACGCGATATTCAGTAGTGCTCTGAGTTTGATTATGGTGTTGGCGGCCAAGGAGATATCGCAGGGCAACATGACTGTCGGTGATCTGGTGATGGTAAATGGATTGCTATTCCAACTGTCCATACCACTGGGCTTCCTCGGCAGCGTGTATCGTGAGGTTCGGCAGGCCCTGCTAGATATGCAGGCGATGTTTACGCTCATGAATGTGGATAGCCGCATTCAAACGGCGCCCAATGCGCAACCCATCTTCGTGGACAATAGCAACTCATCGATTGAGTTTCAAAATGTGAATTTCGAGTATGAGCCGGGCAAGGCCATTTTCAAGGACCTCTCATTCACCATACCGGCTGGCAAGAATGTGGCCATTGTGGGTGGTTCCGGATCGGGCAAGTCATCTATGGTGCGTTTGCTGTTTCGTTTCTTCGAGCCGAATTCTGGTCGTATTCTGATCGGTGGCCAGGACATTAGCGGCGTTGAGCTGGACAGTCTGCGCAAAAGCATTGCTGTGGTGCCACAGGACTCGGTGCTGTTCCACAACACCATCGAGCATAATATACACTATGGCAACCTGAGCAAATCGCACGAGGATGTCGAAAATGCGGCACGCATGGCCGATCTCCATGAATCGATAATGAGCTGGCCCAATCAATACAGAACGCAGGTAGGTGAACGTGGCCTAAAGCTATCCGGCGGAGAGAAGCAGCGTGTGGCTATTGCACGTGCAATTCTGAAGAACACGCCCATTCTAATCTTTGATGAGGCCACCAGCAGTCTGGATTCCATCACAGAGCATGTGAGTAGCATTCAAATGGTATAATTAAATTCTCAAGCTAATCAATGCAATTTACAGAATATTTTAAAGGCTCTTTCGCGCGCCACTATGGGCCGCACCAGTATTTGCATTGCCCACCGCCTGTCCACAGTGAAGGATGCGGATGAGATTATAGTACTGGAGAATGGACATGTTGGAGAGCGTGGCACACATTTGCAACTGCTGCAACAAAAGGGACTATATGCCCGCTTGTGGGAGACGCAGACCCACCAAATTGGTCCCAGTCATCAGCATGCAGAGTCAACTGCTCTGTAGTCAAGCGTTGGGCCACGTTGGTCAAGTGCTCTTCTAGTTTTAATAATGCGCTTACTATTTGACAAAGCCAACAGAATTTTTAGTTGAGGCTCCATCGCGGAGCTTGTGTAATTATTTAGGCTGAAGATAATATTGTGTCCGGTTGTAAATACAGTTATTCATATATGTGTATAGTTGATAATCCTATTGATTTAATTGGGTGGGTGGCATCAAAGTTATCAAATAAAAAAGTCTTGAGACTTGCAGATTCATTGAAAATTATGCTTGTCCTTTCTTTTTTTTTTAACTTCGAGAATTCAGCAAAACATCGTTTAGAGGTATAACATTAAACATTTATTATCAGTTTTATCACCCACACAATATGTGACACTTTGGCAAAGAAAATACGTTGGTTAGCAGGCAGAAATTGATCTCAACTGCTTCATTCTTAGTCTCTCTCTCGTATGGAAATTGGTATGGGTACATCGTATAACAAATATAGTAGACAATTAGCTAGATGCTTAAGGAACTGCTGGTAGTTTGTGATGCGTTGATTGAACTCCTTCCACAACGGCAACAGAGGCCGCTGATCCTTTGGCTGAGCCGCATCATCGATCACAATATCCTGCTCCAACATAGTCCTGTTCACGTACGTGTACAAATAGGAGGCAGGCTTCTGACCAATGGTGGTCACATAGTGCGTCACATTGCTCTCCAATCTGATGCTTTTGCCGGCTGTTAGGAAATATGACTCCTCCTCACTGTCACTCTTGTAGCGCACATTACCCTCGAGTATCGTCAGCGAGCAGTTAAACAGCGCCGGAGCGATGAAGTTGCTCAGCGTCAGTCCGGGGAAATCAGCCACAAAAACGACATCCGAGTAGTTGTTCCATGCGAGCACCTCATCTGCAATCGTTTTGAGCTTTGGACGCATATGATTTAGTTCGGTGAGCAATGGAAGCGACCAGGGTGTCTGCTTAAACGGCGACCAGGGCGCCTTCAACAGATCCACGCGTGGATCAAAGGTGCGCTGCTGGAACCTACCGTTCATGGCACACCAAATGTCAAAGTAAATGGAAATGTTGCTGCTCTTTACCGGACTGCTGTCCGGATTTTTGGTCAGCTCGTCGCGTATGTTCCTCTCAATGCAATTGGCATATTGGACAGCCATGTCGGCATATTTTGTCCATCGATCGTATTCGGTGAAGGCATAGGGATTCAGATGATGTACCTGCTGGTTGTCATTGTCTATCACTTTGATGGAGATCAGCACCGTGTCGTAGGAGTGCACCATCATGTCCCACGAGTAGCCATACAGCCCATTCGTCCAGTTATTGTATCCCTTGGTGATGAAGTGCGAGTAGGGCAGGAAAAGCTGCAGGATGCAATAGATGATTATGATGCAGCTGCGCAGCTGAGCCTTAAGTCCACCTTGTTCACTGATTGTTGCTTTATTTTCTTTCACATCTGGCGATCTTTTGAGCAGCTGACATAAGCGTCGTGGCCAGTCAAAGCTGAAGAAGAGTGGCACCTCTGCCAGGCAGACCCAGGGGAACATTCCTAACAGAAGAAGGGAATTTTATCTTCGGTTCCTTCTTCTTTTGAGTTCAACTTACCAATAGTAAATAGTCGCGAGTTCATCAAATGGAAGCTTATCATGAATGGTGTCACCAACAGGCGAGTCTTCTCGCACGTCATGAAGAATGCAATGGATAGATCGAAAATGGCCGTGAACCAATGGATAATCAGCAAATCGATAAGGTTCTCGTCCAGCAGCTGTCGGAATGGCGCAAAAACCCAATGTTGACTCAAAGTGGACATGGCATAGCCGGAGAGCCACTCCAGCGAGAACTTCTTCAGACCGGCGTACATGTAGAGCACAAAGAACTGAAACTTGATGAGAAAGTAATTCCAATATGCCACCGGCTGTCTCAGCTGCGGATTCAACCAACTGTCCACGGAGCTGCAAGGCCAAAGATTTATGTATTGGATCGCTGGCATTGTTAGCGTTTACCAACCAGTAGTTGTGTGCCTGGGTGAAGAGTAGCAATGTGCCAACGAGTCCAAATAGATAGCTGTGATTATTCCATGCCGGCTTGTCCAACAGAAAGATGTACCAGTAACCAGCCACAAACATGAGGCAGCTGCTGCGAAAACGATACCCAACCATAATGCCCAATGCGCCCAGCCACACTCCCAGATACAAGCAGCCCATCATTGGATATTCCATGGCCTCAATCTGATTGAACAGCGGAAAGTGGCAGTGTTGCGGCTCACCAAAGCGCACGTCCAGCTGTCCACCGCCCCGCTCCTCGGCTATATCGATCAGCATTGCGGCGCCGAAGAGCATCCGAAAGACACCCAAAGCGGCACCATCCACAGGCCGGTTTAGCCAGCGTGTAAAACTCTTCAAGCTGTCAAAGTTGTCCAGCTCATGGCCAGAACACACTCTAAACAACTGAGCAGCTTGGGTTGCCTGCTCTGGCACAGCTGCCTGCCCTTTGGGCATGTCCGAAACATCATCGGCGGTTGTCGATTTGTTTTCTGTGGTCGCGTTTGGTGATGTGGGCTTTGTGGGCTGCTTACGTTTCGAGTTGGTCATAATTCTGGCAAAGAACTGCTTAAGAACTGGGAATAAAAAATACTTTTCAATATTAAAGTGTTTGAACTGATCGCCTTATTTGTTAATGCTCCTCAAGCTATTATCTTGTAACTTCATATCAGACAACACTCCTATCCTAGTACCAAAAATAATAGACCCGCTTTTCATATTCATTTTGTGGTTTTTTGTTTTTGTAGAATTTATTGAAAAAGTTGACATAAATACATGCATGCATATTGTTGTATACTAAATATATAATATATGGTTTTTGTAATTTTATTTTTTGATTTTGTCGTTTCTGACTCAATCTTGCGAAAATAGAAATCTACGTTTGCTGTCTTTTATAATGCTTAAGATGCACACCTCAAACGAACCCACCCTGCCAAAATGTTCATTACCAAAACTTTTCATTTGAGGCAGCGATCATTTTCCATCCTATTGCTGTATGTGTTCCTGTGTTTTTTTTTTAGCGAAACTGGTTTCGCGTAAAAAATATACATCAATTACGAAATATATATTTTATTTATTATTACATCTCTATATTCTTGAGTTAAGTTTATTGCAACAAATTAGCCCAGCTGCCTTTTATGAAATGGAAAACCTCATTTGTTGTTTTGTTTTCTTCTTGTTAAATTGTGTTGAACAGGTTTCTCAATATATTTGGATTTTCAATTGGTTTATTTATTTGTATTTGAATTTTATTTCTTGTGTTGTAATATATAGTTTCGAATACAGAATATAAATTTGTTTTGAATAAATTGTACATTTTTGCCATTATCCATTTCATTGGGTTCGCAAAATTTCTAGAAATTTTTGAGAACAAGCTTTGAAAATGCCTCAAACTACGCATATGAATACAATAATTCTGAATATACTTGTAAGTTGTAATAAACCTAATGCTTTTGGTTTTAAAGTTAATTGATTTCAAATTTCGGGAAAGTACTCAAATTAAAAAACATACTCATTTGATTCAATAAAAAAAAGAAAAGAAAAGAAAAGAAAAACGAAGAATATTTATTGAAAGAACTTATAAAACATAGGATTACTTAGTGCCTTGCTTAAATAGTTTAAATATGTATATTATTTTATTTTGTTTTTTGGTTTAAATATTTACTGACTGTGTGATTTAATAGTTGCCTTTCGTTTTGTTTAATTTAAATACGACAGTTATGCATAAATGACTAATATTTGACTTTGTTTCACATTTAAGTATATTACTTTTGTTTTGCATTTAAAATTATTATATTTTCTTTTTGGTTTTTGATAATTTACGCAACGGTTAAACATTTTAAAATGCATTTTCAAAGTTAATCCGATAAGTACTTTTTTATTTAGCTGTAATTCATGCTCTTAATAATGAGTAAGCTTTGAAAGTTTTAGACAAAGTTTTCGAGTTGTCAAAGTCAAAAAATTTGCATACAATTTGTGAGCCAACCCCCGCCGCCGTCCCTGGCCCTTTTCCACAGACAACGCACACCTCCCAAAAGTCGGCGACGGCTAAAAAACGTTATCGAATGAAAGAACTATGTGTTTTAGTTGTTGTTGTTGTTGTTATTCATGCTGTTGTTTTTCTTGTCATCTCGTCTAGAGGTTGCTGTTGTCGCTGACCGACCGGCAAGCAACCCTCATGCCCTCCTCCTCCTGCTCCCGAGCGCCCTCTCTCTCTGTCTCTCGCCCAGTGCAATGCACCCCCCTCCTTGGCGATGAGGCGCAGGCGCGCTCTCTCCGTGGCTCTCTCGTTCTATATGCGATTCTGATTCAGCTGAGAGCGTGGAGTGAAGGGGCTAACCATAACACCACTTGGCCAAATCGCCTCGTTGAACAGCTCATTGAAGCGATAGTCCGGTATGGATATCTTAAATTTGCAATATGATAACTGCGATAAGTTGGCATCGTTCTTAACCAATTTGGTGCACTTCACCAGATTCTTGTTAATCTTTAGCTCCTCGGCGAGATGCTCGATAATGTCATCCTCGCTGGTGTTTGTCGCAAATTTGCCAACTTGCACCCAACGTCCGTAGTCGCATACGACGTGCAATCGATCCGAATTGCAATTGTTGCCGACAACGATGAGATTGTTCTGTTGCGGGTGCTTTTTCCCATCGAGATTGTTGACGATGGGCTGGTTGCCAAATTGGAAATACTGTTGGTACATCCGTCCCTGGATTTGGTTAACCCCATTGCACACCTTGTTCACCTTCTCCTCGATTGTCTGCAGTTTGGAGCAGAGTGCTTTCGGCGTTTGAGTGCGGCACTCATCACAGTTAAATGATATCATTGGATTCTTCTGTATCATATCGTACATGGCATCGTCAATGTTACAGCATGTCCGGTGGAACTTCTTAAGGCAGTCATCCGAATTGCATATGATGAGTGCATCCTTCGAGTTGATTGATTTTTTGCATTTTGTGCAATTTTCGGCCATCTTGCTTCGCTTTGAGCCTTTGCACTTTCAATGCTCGTTTTGTCTTATGTTCGTTCGTGTTTTGGGGAGAACAAGAAAAACACACACACACAAGCGACACAAGCGACACACACACACACAGACGCACGAGACACACACACACACACTCAAATACAGACGACGCAGTTGCGAATGTTAGGGGGCGGGTGGAGCTCTGTCTGCTGTCGGCTCTGTTGATGGGTGGGTGGTCTCCTATCGCCGCTGGTATCGCCGATGGTATCGGGTGTGTGAGTGTGTGAGAAGTTTTCTAAAAATGGTTGGAGAAATATAGAAACGCGACTGCGACTGCGAACCGTGAACCGTTCGCTTCGAAGTTTGCTGTTCAACTGACTGGGCTCTGCGAACCCTTAGAAAAGCTGTCGTCTGCCAGCGCGCATTCATCGCCACTTAGGGGTGGTTTTTGCTTGCGCTTGTGCTTTTTTTTACCCCCTATTCTTTGGGCCATATGATGAAACCAGTTTTTTTGTACACTCTTTTTTCACTCTTCTTATTTTTTCGATAACATTGTGGGTGTATTTTGTTTTTTGTGTTTTGTTTTTGTTTTTTTCTGTCGCTTGCTTTTCCCTCTCATTTGCTACAAATGTTGCAAAGCTGCAACTCTGGCACCATTGCACTTACGAGTCGCAGTGTTGTAAAATACGTTTGTTTGTCCTCCTTTTTGACTACAGGGTATATGTGTAATAATCTAATGATCATTTTGTGTACTATTAGATTGTGATCACAATCATTTTGTGAATGACTCAAGTAAATGAATCAACTTTACTTGTTGTATTATTAAAATGTACACATTATCACTCTAAACACCTTTGACAGTATTAACTCACTTTCTGTTAACTACTTAAGTTTATTTTCCACTTCATACGATTGCTCTTAATAATATGATAGGCTAAAAAACAGTTCGAGTTGCCGCACTAAATTTGTTTATAGGAAATTCTATTTCAAGCTGAACAAACATTGCGTATATAATCAGATTTCAGCTCAATGGCTTAAGTGGTAAGGGAATATAATTAAATGTGTGTCTCACCTGGCTTAGGTTTAATTATACTCCAAAACCGTTCTCAAATTACACACCGGCAATTTGTAAACACGTGCAAACAATATCAACTTCCTGGCTGGTAATTGGAGGCTTTTCTGTGCTGCTGCTGCTGGTGCTGCTGCTGCTGGATTTTCGCAACAGTTTGTGGTTTCGGAATTCACTTCACCCAGAGCCACGAATAGGAGCAGCTGGGAACAAGAAGGGCACGCGAGCAACACGGTCCAGCAACTGAGGCTCAGTGCTCAATGTGTCGTCTTATTTATACACAGATGAGCTGCTCTCGTTGCTTGGGGGTGGGATTGGCGGCCGTGTGTCGGCACGGGTGGGCGGGGTGTTGTTTGCGCATGTCCTTGCCAATAAAGGACAATGACGGGGGCCGTGCACGTTAATAATAATAAAATATATACATGTATGTTATGTTGTGGACGACTTGTACACAAGCGGTAACACAAGCAAATACAAATACAAATACAAATATAACGTTAACAGGTGTAGTTGGCAGCTGCGCCAGCGACTCTGCAGCTGGTTTGTGTTTGTCTTGGTCCTCGGACTCCTTGGACTAATCGGCACGCGTAATTGAGTTTCATTATTGGAGGGCGGCAGAGGACATCGGGCAGAGGGCAGAGGGCGGGGGCATTTCCGTTTCCTTTGTTAGCGTGCTCTAGTTTGGTGTCAATAGATTTTAATCAGGTGTGGCAAGCATAGTAAACAGGCACCAGACGCCCGCACGACCGGCACCCACCCGCACCGGCACCACTTGCGTGCAGCTGATTTAAATATCAGCGTCGTCTCAGTCTGTCTATTTGTATTCAGCTTTATTTTTATTATAGTCCCGGCTCCTAGGTGTTATCTACGTCGTTACTCCAATTGTTATTTATGTATGCAACACACACACAGCACCCACGTGTGCCCGATTCCAGCAAAATCCTCGCCCAGCTGCTAACTGCCAGCTCCTTGCTGCATATTATTGGCCCAGATGCTGTCGCTAGTGCCAAGTTTGGTTAGAAGCGAGTTTAATTTAGGCACTTGCTTGTATGTTTTGAGCATGTTGCTACTCCTATTTTTAGAAAATTGCCTGTCGCCTGGTTGTCACTTAAGTAGGCGTAGAAGTGCATTTAGGCTAAAATATATTGTAAAGTGTTTAGCAAGAAAAATAGATTTAAAAGTATTTACAATGAAATTTACGCTAAATCAAAGCATTTGTAATTCAATTTTCTCAAACTAGTTTAAGATGCCTTGCTACGAATTCTTTAAATTGTGGGAAATGCCTCAGCTTTGCCAGACTTATGGGCCTTATAATAGTATTTGAGAGCCCTTCTCTGCACTTTTTTTTACCTTTTGGTATGCAGAGTGCAACACACTAAAACCTGATTGCCCTTAGGTGGTTCCATTCAAGTTCACACACACATTACGCATTTCTTTACGCATGCAGCTCACAATTTAAAAGTAGTGTTAAATGGAATAAAAATAAAATTAGATTGTCTTTTGTTTTTGTTTTTTTTTTTTGTATCTATTTCATTGACTACTGCACTTGTGTTACACGCATTTAAGTTAAAGTTGAGATAAAAAGCAATCTATTATTTATGTAAGTTGAATAAGAGCACCTTCGAACTACATTTGTAAAATGTGCACATTTTTGTTTCGGTCGTTGGTCAAATGTTTATTGCTGGACGCCCCAAAGTAACTATTAACCTTTTTTTCTTTAATTTATCTCTTGCTTTACATACGAGTAAATACGTAAAAAGTAGTTGCGAATTCTTCACCAACTTCAATTGCGCAACTTTGCCTGACTGTTGGCCACACGGGGCGTATGAGAAACAACTGATTAAGACTCTTTTTGATTGACACCACAGCAAAAACAAAACTTAAATTCCAATTCCACAATGTGCAGTTCAACGTCTCGTTTTGAAAATCGATCGCGATCGCGATCGGCAATTTCAAGTTCAAATTGTAAATAGTTGAGTAGTAAACATCACTCATACGCAGCGTACGCTTGACCTGACCTTCCGACAATTACGCGAATATGTTGCACCCGGCCAATTACGGCTAGCAGCAGCGGCTAACTTCACTATTCATTTTGGGCAATTGAAATGCGCATGCCACAAGGTGTTAACAAATTTCTGTTGACGTGTGTGCATCATCTGGCCGCATGCCTTTAATTGTAGAACTGGGGCAAGCAGCATCTCCTCCCTAAACAGGGTGTTTTGGCCGCGCCGACATTGACCCTGATACGCTTGCGAATCGCTCGATTCGTGATCGCTCCCCCAACGCGTATAAATATGCGGCGCATGCGTCGCTATTTGTCACACAACGAGACGAGTTCGGCGGGTGCGATCGCGTTTCCATCGGGCGGACAGACAATAGGCAACGACAAAGCAGACTGCCAATAGGAGGATCTACAGCTAGTGTTATGATGATGTGCCGGATGGTGTTGTTGCTGTTCGCGCTGGTTGCTGGCAGCTATGCAGCGACACATGTCAACATTTCGATTGCCCAACAGCCGGCCACAAATCCGGCAGATGTTAGCTTCATTGATGGACATGCGCCAGCGGAGCTGAGAGCCGGTCCCCAACGTGTTGAGGAGGAGCCACGCTTTGCTCGCCTGCAGGAGCGATCACAGCAGCAGATGCAACAGGTGCCACAGCAGCAGATGACGCAACAGCAACAGTCGTCGCAGTCGGCACAGCAGCTGACTCCACGTCAGGGTTTGGGTCTGCAGCCAGTTCAAATGGCTAATCACGATAACAACAACAACAATAATAACAATGGTCGCCAGACACGTCGTCGTATGCATAGTCGCCGTCCCTCGTTGGTGCAGCAGCCACCGCACAGTGGCCAGTTTCGTCAACGCAACCAACAGCTGCGCCAGAATCAGGAATTCGAGCGATACATTCAGTCCTATCACAGTCATGGACCCTCCGTGGAAACCGTAAGGAATTTACCGACTTGACTTTAAAATTTTTGCAAGCCAACATCAATCTTTTCTTGAATTCGGCGTGCAGGTCTTTGAATCCTCCAGTCCAGCGCCTCAACGCTATACACAGTCCAGCAGCAGCAGCAGCAGTAACAGTGACAGCTCTAGTTCCATTGCTGGAGATGATGTAGTGTCCATTGGTGGCGGCAAATCGCAGCAACTGCGCATGTTTGAGCGCCAGGTAGCTGCTCCAGCTGCTGCTCAAAGCCAGAGCGCCAATGTGGAGCAGGCACAGGATAGCAAACCCATCTATGAACCGCAACAGGAGCCTGTGAAAGCACCTGTCTTTGTACCCGCTGTAAGCTCCAGCTCCAGTTCCAGCTCCTCCTCCTCTAGTTTTAATGCAGGCAGTGCTCCTGCTCCGGCGCCCACTTCAGTGCCCAATGATGCCAAGCTAGGCGGTAGTGGTGGTGGCTTTGAGTCCTCTTATGAGCCTGCTTTCGATGCGGGCAACAGCTATAATCGTCCTAGCTATGATCAGGGCGGCTACATCGGCTATGACGACGTACAAGATGACTATCAGGATCTGTATCCGCCACAGCAAGCCGTAGACGAGAGCTTCAGCTACGATGATTATGGCGATCAATCCGGTGGCTACTTGCCACCACCACAACCTGGCTATGTGCAGCCAGCTCCACCTCGCCAACTCGTCACGAAGACCATCCAGATTGTGCAGCCGGCGCTGAAGGCCAAGAAATACGAAGTCCGTCATCCGGCCATCCAGAAGGAGTTCTACGACATTGAGGAACGTGTTGTGATCAAGCCCGCTGGCACATTGGTTGTCGAACTGGATCATCCGGTTGCAAAGATACCCAAGGGTGAGACTCTACTACCCCTGGGACATCCACATCCCGCTGTCGCTGGTGCCTACCACAACAGCAACAGCAACAACAACAACAACAACAACAATGTGCAACAGGTGCAGACTCAAAGCTACAACAACAACGGCAATGAGTACAGACCCAACTATGATGGACCCAAGGAGCAGGCACAGGTGACCACTGTTGGCTCCAGTGTGACCACAATGCCCGCCTATGATCAGGTGCCCAAGGATGCGTTCGTCGAGTCACAGCTGCAGCAGCAGCAGCACACACAGGGAAACGATGCCACCGATGGCAATCGTCAGTCACCCTCATTCAGCTCCAGTTCCAGCACCAGCTCGGGCTCTATTCCCAGCACTAGTGTTGTTGCTACCGATTCGAATGGCAATCAATTCCAGATCAACAAAAAGCATCTGACACCCAAGATGCTCACACGCCTCGAGCCGGAGCAAAAGGACTATGATTATGGACGCAGCGAGGCAAGCTACCCAACACAGCGTGGCTATCAGCGCACCAACAGCTTCGCTCGCCAGCCAGTGTATCAGCAACCCAGCAACGATGACTACTTTAGCGGCGAGTATCTACCCAATGTTAATGCCGGCAATGTGGATGCGAAACCAGCACGCCTCGAGGAGGCTCCTGCACCACGGCCACAAATCATCAAGCACGAGCACAAGATCCATTTGCCGCCATCGCAGCATAATATCTATTTGAGTCGCAGTCGCCAGCCGCCACCGAAGGAGCAACGCATTCAGGAGGAGCTGCCTGCCCATGTTGCCGAAGTGAAGCCTTATTTGCGCAATCATCAGGGTCCCACAGTGGTGTATGCCAAGTCAGCGGCGCGACCCGTTGCCACACCACGTGGCAACTACTACAATCAGGCGGCAGTTTCACGGTTGCGTAGTCCTCTCGCCGAGGATCTGGAATATAGTGCACCATACTCACGCATGCGCTACGATCCCGATGCAGAGTCTGGTCGTCTGGTGGAGGCACCCAAGCCGCAGACAAAAGAGCCTGCAAAGGCACAAATTCAACTACAAATACCAAATCATGATGACCGGGATCAGTCGATTGTGGCCACTGCGACGATAAGTCCACTCAAGCCCGATTGTGATCAGCAGGAGAAGCAACAACAGCAGCAGCAAGAGGATCAGGCAGATCAAAGATTTGCACGCTACCGACAGCCTCAGCAGGAGCAGGAGCAATTTCAGCGTCTGGTTGAGGCGCCAGCTGCTCCCGTTGTGGCCAGCACACAGGCCACACCCACACAGGCCCAACCTCAACTGGATGTGGATGTGTCACTTAATGGCGGAGCCGGACACCTAAACCGACACCTGCAGCCCAATGAGCGCGTCATTTCAGCAACAGCTGCACCCACCGACGCCGCCTCGAAGAGGGAAACGTTCCACAAGCGTCGTATTGTGGTCAATCATCCGTTCCAGACGGTGCGCGAGGTGGTCGAGCATGAGCCCATCACCAACTACCATCAGATTCAGGTGAATGAGCCAGCCTCACCCAATCTCTACCACCAGGCGGCCTATTATCAGCAGCCGGTGCAGACGCATGGCAATCTGATGCAATTCGAATCGACATCCACACAAGGCAATCTGTATGCGAGTTATGGTTAAGAGCTGAAGTCGTTGTAGACCTGAATTTATGTAGCTGACGTACTCAATTGTTGTTTATTTTCGTTTGTAGTTAAGAGATACGAGAATCCCCGCATTGGTGGAAGGACCCTTTCCATTACATTTTTGATCTTATCTAATATACATGCATTTGTATTATCCCATACACCTTAGACTTAAGTGCAGTTTTACTTGCCATGAATAAAATGCATACAAAATGCGATGAGAAAATAAGCTCAAGTTGAATGTTTAAATTTTAGCTAGGTTGCTGGCGCCATCTATTGTTCACATTTTATGTGCAACACACAGAAATCTGAGGTGAAAACTAAATTTAACCTTTAAATATGAAATACTTTCACTTTTCACATATAATATAATCATTTTATTGGTTTTGTTTATGTTTTGTTTTACGAAAATTATATTTAAGCATAATCATACAACGAACAAACTTACAGTTACATTTTTATAATGCAATTAAAACATTGACTGTATAATATAATAATTGTTTATACTTCTTCAGCGCTTCAAGACACAGTTTTTAATATATTTATATTGTTTCTTAAATTTTTTATTATTTATATATATATTTTTTTTCTTCTTTTGTTTCGAATTTTTTTTTGCACTGATCGCAATGTGTGTGGGTAAAGAATTAAATATTATTTATTTATATATGTATATAAAAAATACAAAAACAATTGGCACCGCCATAACGGTTAAATCGTTCAATGCAATTGTCCAAAAAAATTTGTTATTTAAGTTTTAAGCTGAAACCGTGACGTGAATTTCCCATTGCCAATTTCCAATTTGCTTCACTGTGGCGGCGTTTGACTCGAGCGACGCTTTTCCTTCTCCTTCTCCTTGTCGCCGCCCTTGCGTCCAAAGATGCGGAACATGCCGCTGCGACGTTCCTCTTTGCTCTTGCTGCCCTTCACACCCGACACCGATGAAATCGACTGGGCTTCGCTCTCACTGGAACTCTCCGCCGATGCTCGCGTAAAACTAATTGAATCCGGCTGCAGCGAAACGGGACGATTGCCCTCAAAGCGACTGTTGCCCCAACCTGTAAATGCAACAGACAAACACAGAGAAAAAGAAAAAGAAAGAGAGAGATTGTGAATATTTGAGTTAGATTCCTAGAATAAAGCGTCTGATGATGATTAAGCGGATGCAGCCTAACATAAAAGAGAGCGCATAATGTTAACATAAAACATAAAAGAGAGCGCATAATGTTAACATAAAACATAGAAAGAGTGAGTGTGCGTGCGAAGAGAGCGAATTCTTAGCTTAGAGTTGACAAAGAGAACGAGAGAGAGAGAGAGAGAAAGATATGTGGAATACTTTGCAAACTGGTGCGCAGATAGGATCGTCGCGTTATTTTCACCGATTTCACCGTTGAACCTTCACATATATATATAAGGCATGCACAAATCATTGAGAAAAGAGAGAGAGAGAGAGAGAGATAGAGAGAAGAATAACTTATGTACCATTAACCGTTAACAGATTTGCGAGCGAAACACATAAATCTATATAAAAAATGAACATGCTGCATACAAATTCCACAAAATAAAACACTAATCTAAGAAAGAGAGTAACAACCAAAATGCAAGCCTTAATTGTTAGGAAATGTGTTGTTGTTGTTGTTTGTTTGTTTGTAATGTGTGCTAACCACCGATTCCATCGTTATTGTTATTTAGATGTAGACCCATGTAGCTTGGATTACTGATGGCATTGTTATGATCAACGGAGCCGGATGATGATTTCGTTGATGATGTTGGTGAGCTCGTTAAATGCCAAACCGTGCGACTGCTTGTCGCCTGTTGTTGTTGTTGTGTTGTTGTCGATGATGATGTTGTTGTTGTTGTTGTTGTGTTGGTGCCCTTTTGTTGGATATTACCGTTGCCATTGCTGCTTGCGCCGCTGCTTGAATAGTTAACAGTACGCTTTGTTGTTGTTGTTGTTGTAGTATTGTTGCTACTGCTGCTGCTATTGCCAGAACTGTGGCCATTGTTGTTGTTGTTGCTGGTGCTGCTGTGAGTGTAAATGTTGCCCGGTGCATGCGTCTCCATTTCAATGAACTTGCGCGTCGAATCGATGCGTCCAGTGTTGAGAGACGGCACACGTTGTGGTGAAGCCATGTGTTGTTGTTGTTGTTGTTGCTGCCTCACAATGTTGCTGTTGTAGTAGTCGGGCTGATGTTGTTGCTGTTGTTGTTGTTGATTGGCGGCCGCATTGAACGCATTGATGCGTTGCTGCACCTGCTTTGATTGATGACTATGCTGATGTGGATGTTGTTGTGGATGTTGTTGGTGTTGTTGTTGTGGATGCTGTTGTTTCTGTTTCTGATGATGACTACTGGCGCTGCCCAAGGGCGGCATCGTTGTGGGCAATGGCGGCGGATTATCTAATATACAAGTCGATTTTTGGAGGGGTACACGTTTTTACAAATGGGTGATCAAAGTAAGTATGTGTATATGTATGTATGTGTGTATATGTGTGTGTGTGTGTGTGTGTGGTACAAACACAAATATATAGCTGACTACACAATGAGTGGGGACTGCCACACGATTGGGCCACTTACCGGACTGCCTGGACTCGCTGCTGCGCATGAGAACAGCGCTGTCATCTTTGCTGTTTCCATTCTGGGCGGGTAACGTGGCCGATTGTTGCAGGCGGCCATCAGTTATATCTGCGAGAACAACAACTATATAATAATACATAATATAATAATAATAATATTCTACACACCATTGCTGGAACTTTGGCGATTGCGCAGCACAACCAGATTCTCTTGACTCTGGCGGGTTGTGGCAACGGGCGGCGCTCCTCGCGGTGGTATCGGTGGCTTCTGATCGGTACCGGCTGTCGGTGAACTGGGCTGGGATGTTTGCTGATACTGCAGATACTCTTGCTTCTGTTGCATTTGTCGCAGGAACGCCATTTGTGGCGTGGCTTCGGCAGAGTTCGGTGTTTGTACACTCGACCGGCGCTGTGAGTCTGGCGAGGAATTCCGTGAACTGACGGGCGATTCCATGCCGCTGGTCACCTTAATGTCCGGTGAGCTACTCGATTGTTGCTGTAAGTTTCAAATTGATTGTTCAGATTAGTTGCCTTCTTATTGACATTTGAAATGCCATCAACTCACCTTCATCGATTCGTCGTAGCTGAGCAGCTGTAGATTTGGCGGCAGACTAGCGTGGAAGGATATCTTGCGTACCCAGTCGTTCATAATGTCCAGTGAGGGTGCCTCAAACAGAAACTCCGAACCGTCGGGCAATTTCAGACGGAACACGTACTTCTTTTTCGTATAGTCATCGGCACGTTCGCACTTCGCGCCCAGAATATTGACTGGCGCCTGAGCCGTCTTCTGTTGCAGGAAATCGTTATCGTCCTTGAAGAAGCACACCAACTGACCGCACAGCACCGTATGGAATTGTTTCCAGGACCGCACGGGCGCTTTCTTGCCACCCGATTGTAGTCCGTGCTTGCGTTCGAGCATACCCTGTATTTCGACGGGTGGCAAGTCGAAGCCTTCGCCCTTCTGGTTCTTGCGGAAGGACTGAGCACGACGACGTGTGGTGAAGGATGGCGTTCGCTTGGCTTGCTTGGGCTGCACCTTCATGCTCTCGGCCCGCTTCACATTGGCATCGGCAGATCCGCGACGTAGTCGATCACCGAACATGCCGCTCGAGCTACTCTTCTGCAGGGCGGCATGCTCATCTTGCGATTGCTGGTCCTGGAAGGGTGGACGCAAATGGGTTTGAGAAATGGCTGGCGATTGGCTGGCACTGCCGGGTGCAACACTGATGTTGCTGCTGTTGCCAGGGGTCACCATGGGCGCGGAGAAGATGGGTGTCTTCTCCTGGGCAGCGGCATTGTTGCGATGCTCCTGTTGCTTCTCGGCACGACGGCGTTCATCGTTCAGGCGCTGCAGCTCCTTTTGCTTGAGCTGCTCGAGTCGCTCCTTCTCGAGGCGCTCCTTCTCCTTCAGCTTGGCCAGTTTCTCGTGCTCGAGCTGTTTGCGGAAACGCTGCTCGAGCAGTGTGATGCGTTTGATCGCTTGGAATTTCTCCTCCTGGGCGGCGACCGTCTTCTCAAAGTCCTCGTGACGACGCAACAGATCCTCCACCTGCGGTATGGAATCACCGAGCTTGGTATCCTTGAGCAACGGTTCCCGACTACAGATCCATTGCTCCAGTATTTCGGCATCCTTGAGGAAGAGCTGTGTGTCCAGGTTGAGTTCATAGATCTCCTTGCGCTGCTGCAGCGTATGCTCGAGCAGCTCGTGGCGCGACTGCAGCACCTTGATCTTATCCTCTACCTCGTGGGCGAGGAAGTGCTTTTCCTTAATCAACTTCTGACCATTGGCCGTGAAATTGGCAAAGGTCTCGTCACGTGCACGTATCTCGGCATGATGATCCTTGATGCTGGCAAGGAGTAGTTCCGCACCGGCCACACTTGTTGCCAGCTCGGGAGCCGTAATCTTGGCCAGCATCTCATTGATCCAGGCAATCAGATCGCGATACTCATCGAAATAGGATTGCAGCTGTTCCGCCTGATTTAGTTTACCCTTGCGCGCATCTGCCTTCTCGTTAAGCTCCGTCCACGCTTCGATTGTCTCGTCACGTTTTACCTCGATATGTTCCCGGGCATCCGGATAGATTGCACCCAGTGTGATCACTTCCTGGAGCACCGAATCGACCTGCTCCTTGATGGCAATCAGTTCACCCTCGAACACCTGATGCTTGCGTCCCAACGCTTGTATGCTCTCCAAATCCTGGCCGTAGTCCTCGGAAATGAGCGATGCATCCTTCTCGTTGATCAGCGAGATGGTCTCGTCGGCAACACGATCATAGACATGCACCCGCTTGGCGCCGGCAAGCGCATCCTGGCGTGCATTTACCAGCTCGTTAAGCTCATCCCACAACTGCTTCGTCTTATCGCGTTGGGCCTTGATGGAGTTGCGATACGGGTTGTTCTCCTGGATCAAACGATCGCCATGCTCCAGACAGGCCTCGACACGCGCCTCATTCGCATTCAGATTGGACACAAAGGACTCAAAGGCCAACATTAATTGCTCCACATGCTCCACATCCTCGCCATAATCTTCGCTAGCCGTAACTGTCATTTGATCGCCGACCCATTCGTGGAGCTCCTCCGTTTCGCGCAGATACTCGAAGAGTTTCTTGGACTCCTTTAGGCGCTGCTCTCGATCCTTGGCCAGACGCAGCAATTCCACATATTGCTGGTCAACAGCGCCATTCTTCTCCTGTATATTGGCGCTGTCGAAGTGATTGCGTTCAATTAGACCCGTTGCCAATTTGTTGACCTTGTCAATTGAAGGCTTGAACGAAGTCAGTTCGCGTTGGAGAACTTCCAGTTTCTTTTGGTGCACCTGAACGGAGATCTCATCGCGTCCATAATCGCTGCTGGCCAAAATGGGTCGCTTCTCGCGCATCCAGGCATCCGCCTCATTGGCCTCCACATAGAACAGCTGACTCTCGACGGCATCGAGTAGACGCAATCGACGAATGGCAGCCAAATCTCGCAGCTGGACGAGCTGCTTCTGCAGCAGATCGGATTTGTATTGCAGTCGTTCGCTGGCAAAGTGATTGTCCCGAATCATTTGCTGGCCACGCTGCAGCAGCGCTTGGATTAGGGGCTCCTGCGATGTCAATTCGGCCTCGAGGGCATTGTGCTTCTTTTGCAGACCCTGCACGGCCAAGAGACTGCTGCCCAGATCCTGAGAGCCAGCTATCAACTGTTTCTCGGCCAGCCATTGCAGCTCATCGTCGGCATCGCGCACGAATTGCTGCAGACTCAGTGAATCTTCGAGATTCTCGCGACGTATGGCAATCGGTTCGTGGAGCGTATTGTAGCGTTTAATTGTGGACATTGCCCGCTCATGGATATCATGTTTGAGGAAATGATCCACCTGGAAGAAGTGCTCATCCTTCAGCTTCAGCTGATCGGCGAGCTCATTGTGATGCGCCACATCGGCCTCGAGACGTTCGTGTTTCTTCAGCAGATTGCTAACCGTTGCCAGATCCTTGCCATAGTCTTCGCTGGACAGCTGCAACTCAACATCGTCCATCCAGTTGTTAAACTCATCGACGCTGCGATTGAAGGCAAGCGCCTCGTGCGCCTGCTGCAACTTCTCCTTCTTCGCCTTAGAGGCGGCCTTCAGCTTGTGCCAATCGCCCCCGAGCAGCTGCACCTGCTGTGCAATCTCATCCTTGGCAAAGTGCTCACCCTTAATCAGACGTTCGCCCTCACTGATCACGGCTTGGACGCGTGGCGAGTTGCTCAAGAGTTCGGCATCGAATGCGGTGTGTTTCTGTATCTTACTTTGCAGATTGCTGGGCTCGCGATAGTTCTCATCGAGTGCCACTTGCAGTTTCTGCACCAGCCAGCGATCGATCTCGTACAGACTGCGCAGGAACTCCTGCAGCTGCAGCGATTGTTGTAGACGATTTTTACGCTCCGCCGACAGATTCAATAGCTTCTGTTTGCGACGCAAAACATAGGCCAGTTTCTCGCTAATTAGATCCGCATCCTTGGGTGCACCCTCTAAAATGCTATTGGCGAACTTTTGCAATGCATCCACATGATCGGCATCGAGCAGCTTCTCGAATGCGTCGTGTTTTTTGAGCAGACGCTCCACAGCTGTGTAGGAGTCGCCCAGATCATCGTTGTTGAGGAACGCCTCCTTGTTGGCCAGCCAAATTTCGACCTGTTCCACCTGAGCCTTGAACAGCTGCAGTTGATGGGCCTCGGTCAGGTCGCGTGCCCGTTCGGTCCACGCCTCGTGCAGCGTCTGATGCAGTTCCTCGAGCACACGCAAATACTGCTTAACGCTCTCCGGCTGCTTGGCCTGACCGCTGAGCTGTTCGCCATGCTGCTTGAGCGTGACAAATGCGGGATCTCGTCCCTCGATCTCCACTTTGCGCTCCTGATGCAGTTCCAGCTGCGTTTCGCAATCGTTGATCGTCGATGGCGCCTGGGTGGCATTCATTTTCTTGATCATATCGTTGACCCACAGCTCCAACTCGCGCACATCCGACACAAACTTGTGGGTTAGATATGCCTCGTTGAGCACCGTCTGCCGCTTGACCGATAGACTCTGGAGATTATTCCAGGATTTGTGCAGCTCTTGCAGTTTACGCTCAATGACCTGAGCACCACGCTCCGGATATTTGCGTGTGAGAAACTCGGCAGCCGTTTCATGCTCATCAATCTTCTGCTTGACGGCGGACATGTCACGCTCCAGCGCCTCCTCGCGACGAATAAGCGCCTCGACAGCGGCCAGATCCCGACCCGTATCCGCTGAGCTCATTGCCAGTGCCTTCTCCGCAATACGCTCGGCTGTATCATCAACATCCCGATTGAAGACGTGTATCTCATGAGCACCACCGAGCAGAGCACGATATGCATTGAGAGCGCCTTGCAGCTGACGCCAGTTGTGATTGAAGTCGCGGCGACGCTTGTCCACGCTCTGCGTATCTGCCGGGAGTTGGGCCTGATTGATCAACTTGTCGGCCAGCTGATTGATGTGCTTGACCCGCTGATCATCCACCCGCATATCGGAGTCGACGTCGTCCAGTTTGCGCATCAGGGCGCTGCAATGTTCGAGATCGCGGCCCATATCGCTGGCTTGCACCATCATCTCCTTGTCGCGTATCCATGCCTCGATCTTGTCCAGCTGATTGTTGAACTCCAGTATATCTTGGGCCTCCTCCAGGCCGCGTCCGCGCTGATCCAACTCAGCGAGCAATCCTTGCCAGGCGGCGAGCACACGTTCGATCGCTTGCTTAATCTCTGGCGACGATTCGTGTTGTTTGCTTAGCAATATGACGCCAGTGTCCTGAATTTCCTTGATGCGACCCTGATTCGCAGCAACCTCAGCTTGGAAGGCCTGATGTTTCTGCAGTTTCTTGATCTTCTCGTCGAGATTGGTGACCTCCGCATAGCTGGCGGCATCCGCTTCCAGTTTCTTTTGCTTCTCATTGATCCAGGACTCGCTCTCGGCGCAGTCGCGCACAAACTTGGCATAGAGCAGGGCATCCTCCAGTTTGTATCGACGGACCGCACACAAATCCTTCACCTTCTGGCGACGGGCGAGCACACCCTGCAGAATCGTTTGTATGTTGGCGCTATCGTAGTGCCGTTGCTCGATCAGTTTGCGTCCATGCTCCTGCAACAAGGCAACCTTCTCCTCTTGCGTCTGAATGACTCTTTCGAATTCATCATGTTTCTTGATCTGATTCTGGACATCTTCAACGGTTTGGCCAAAGTCGGAGCTGCTGAGCGCCGCTTGTTGGGTGCTTGAAAGGTTATCGATTTGTTTGGCATCGCGCAGGAAACAGAACAAATCGATTTTCTGCTCCAGCATGATCTTCTTCTTGTTCCACGCAGCGTGCAGCTTCTGTCGCTCATCCAACATCGCTGCACATTTTTCCTCCACATCGGCGGCCGCATAGTGGCCGGTTTGGACCATCGAATCGCTCAGCTCATTCAGGTAACGGAATTTATCCTCACGTGCCTCAATCTCACCATAGATGGCATCGTGTTGAATTTTCAGGGCTGTGGCGCCGGCAGCATCGCTAACATGCTCCTCGGCTTGGAGTGCGGCACGCAGATTCGCCGACCACGACACAATGTCACGGACATCGGTGAGGAAGGTCTGCAGATCGGAACTGGCCGCCAAACGATCGCCACGTGCCGTCGAACGTTCCTTAAGATCGTTCCACGCAGCTACCACTTTATCTTGCTGCTGGGCAATGGCCTGTGCATTCGATGGATATTTTGCTTGCAGACGGACCGAATCCTCGACCAGCACCTGCAGCTGTGCCTCCAACGCAACCAAATCATTCTCGAAACCTTCGTGTTTGCGCAGCAGTGCCAGCGCAGAGTTCAAATCCTTGCCCAGCTCCGAGGAGAGCGCCGCATTCTTGTCCTGGATGCGGAAGAGTGCCTCTGCCACATCGCGATGGAAACGATGAATTTCGCCAGCAGCATGCAGCTTCTGTTCGCGTTGGTTCAGCAACTTCAGGAGATTCTCCCAGGACGTTCTGCGACAGAGTAGATGAAGATTTAATTATTCATTATATTATAAATATATAAGCATGCCCTTACCTCAATTGTTCCTGTCTCTTCTCCACCTCATTGGCATAGGAGCTCTCCGAATCGATGAGTTTCTTGGCGAGCAGCTCGCACTGATCCACTCGATCGGCGCCGACCTCAACGCGATGCTTCAGATCATCGAATTTGTTTTGCAGCAACTGCAAATGCTCAAAGTCCTGTCCATAGTCCTCCGATGACGCTGTCTGCTCCTGTTCTCTAATCCATTGTTCGACTTCGTCCGATTCGAGGAAGTACTCGTGCTTCGAGAGGCTTTCCATGAGGCGCATTTGTCGCTGCGAGGCCAACTTGTGCAGCGATTTGAGCATCTTCTCGATGAGCTGCTGTTTGGCGGCCAGAACTTTGCTGTCGGGATGCTGGGCAGCAACCATGGCGGCGCAAGTGTGTCCCATTTCAGTGACAATGCTCGAATATGTGTCCAACTCCAGCTCGATGGTCTTGTGTTTGGTCAGCAACTTGGCAGCCGAATCGCGATCGCGACCATATTCAGTCGATCGCAGGGCATTGTTGCGTTCACCCAACCAGGACTCAATCTCGCCGGCATCGAACAGATATTGCTGTGCCTTCAGTGACATTTCAAGCTTGCGCGTGCGCTCGCCACAGTGCAGCTCAAGATCCTGCCATGCCAGCTCCAGTTGCTCGCACAGCGCCTCCACGTTCTTGCTCTCGGGATGCTGTTGGGCCACCAACGATTGTCCGCCCTGCAGCGCTTTGTTGATCATCGGCTGATGACCCTTGATCTCGGCCTCGAGTTTCTTGTGTTTCTTGAACAGCGATTGGGCTTGATGCAGATTCTGGCCGAGCTCATTGGACTTTGCCGCCGGCAGATGATCATTGATCCATTGGAATTCTGCATCCAGTTCGAATACAAACTTATGGAAATTCAAACTCTCTTCGAGTTTGTCGCGACGCATTTGGGTTGGATCGCGCAGATCCTTGAAACGTTGCTGCAGCTCCTTGGTCTCATCCTCAATGTTCTTGGCGTTGAAGTGACCCTCGTGGGCCATATCATCGCCCGTCGACACCAATTCCGCTACCTTCTGATCCCAAATGGTTATTTCCGATTCGAGCAGTTGCTGTTTGTTGATCAGATCCTTGCAGCTGCGCAAATCGTTGCCGACATCCTTGCTCTTGAGTGCCGAATCCAGTTCGTTCACCTTCTTCTTGGCATCCTCAATGGCGCGGTTGTGTTCGCGTTGCGATGCAGCCTGCTCAAGTTTGCGTCCCTTGTCCTCCGACAGGGTGAGCAATTCCTTCCACTTTCGGTTCAAATCGGCCACAAGCGACTCCACCTCGGGCACACGATTCTCGGCCTGAATCAGCGCTTCGCCATCCTTGTTCACATTGCGCAATTGTCCCTCGTTTGCGCGCAGCTCACGCTCGAAGGCCTTGTGCTTCTGGAGCTTGCGCGGCAGATTGCTCAGATCGCGATAGCTTTCGTCGCCAGCGATTCTGGTTTTGTCATTCAGCCAGGCCTTCAGATCATCGGCCTCGGCGGCAAACTTGTGATAGTCCTTGGAGGCCTGCAGCAGACGCTTGCGCTCGAAAGCACGATCCTTGACAGCCTTACGCTTGCCCAGCACCTGTTTGCGACGCTCGCCAATGCTGGAAGCGGATGCAGATTTCAAACAGTTAGGTTAACATGTAGTCCAGGCTACTTTGTAGCTACTTACTATTTGGCATCGTAGTGATCATTGGCAATGAGCTTGTCCGCATTGTCCGAGAAGCCCTTGAGGATCTTGTCCTGTGCCATGAGGCTCTTCTCAAAGTCCAGATGACGCTTAAGTATGGCCTCCACCTCATCCAGCGAGGACTGTAAGCAAAGGATTGTTAAATAAAGAAGCTTCTTCTACTGGTCAACTGTTCACTTACGCCAAGATTGTTGTACTCGAGGAAGGCCTCGTGACTCTTGGTGGTGGCATCGATTTTGTCTGCTTCGCGATTGAACATTTGCAGTTCGACGCACTGCAGCAGCCACTTTTGTTTCTCGCTCCAGCCGCGATGGATGGCATCCTGTTCGGCCTTGAGTCGCCCAATTAGCTGCACCGTTTCGGCCATGTTGGGTTTGCCGTCGGAGAGCTGTTTGCCCAGCTGGATAACCTCAACGAATTCGTTGTCATGCGCCTTGATATCATCGCCCAGATCATTGTGTTTCTTGAGCAGATTATTGGCCGTTTCCACATCGCGTGCCGACTCATCGGCATTCAGCTGATCCTTGACCGAATCAATCCAGGCGAGCAGCGTCTTGGCGCTGTTATTGAAGATCTGTTGGCCCACCTCGCTCTCGATACGAGCACGTAGCTCACTGCCACGTAGCTGCACCTGTTGCCACATATCCTGCACCTCCTGTTGCTGAGCATTGACATTGTCCCGCTCTGCGGGATAAGCGTTCTTCACAGAGTTGCCCAAATAGGTGACACGATTCACCTTCTCCTCGACTGGGGCCAGTTCGCGTTCCAGATTCTGATGGCGTCGCTGTAGCGCCTGAACTGTCTTCAGATCGGGCGTAATGACAGCGGTGTCCAATTGAAGCATCTTCTCGCTCATCCAGACCTTGGCCTCGTCGCAGGTGCGATTGAAGAGCTCCACACTGGACGCACCCTCCAGACTCTTCTCACGCTGTGCCTTCGCATTGTTCAAGCGCTGCCAGATTTGATGGATTTGACGCTGACGCGCAATGATTTTGTCCAGCTGCGAGTGACCCTGTTGACGGAAGGTGTCAACGGCGCCATCGATCTCCTCGACACGCTTCGAGGCGGCCGACAGATCAGTGATGAATTTCTCAAACTTGCGCTTGGCATTGTCGACACCGTCGCCATCATCTGTCTTGATCATGCGCTCCTTCTCCTTCATCCATTTCTCGAAGTCATCGCATTCGCGATAGAAGCCAAACAGATGGATCGAATCCTCGAGTAGGGCATGACGCTTCTGTGCCATCTCCTGCAGTTCATCGTATGTGGCATTGATGCGTTGCTGACGCTTCTCCACGCTGTCGGCGTTCTCGTTGATGCTCTGGTTGGAGGTGCGACGCTGCACGAGTGGCTTGGGATCCACACTGACCGGGCGAATGCGCTTGACGGGCACCACTTGTCGCACCAATATGGTCTTCTTCACCTTCTGCAAACTCTTGACCTTCTCTGCCTTGGGCACAATGCAGGCGACGGGACGTGCTTCGATTTCGCGCACATAGTTGGCGGGCACGAAACCCTCATGGCCATTATCCTTGCGCACACACCACCAGTCATCGTTGGTCTTCGATTTGAGCAGCATCACTTCGCCCTTTTCCATTTTCATGCCCTGACCCTCGAAGGGGAAGAGGGAGCGCACATGGGGCAGCATTTTCGTTTCGGTTACCTTCTTGTGCTCTAGCTTCTCGACCCACTCATCCTCCCACACCTCCTTGGGCACCAGACGCGTCTCATTCACCCACTCTTCCTGCTCCAACTCTGGTAATTCGGGCTCAGCGGCCGTCAACTCCAGCGTGCAAATGCCCGCCTTAATCAGCTTGTCGGCCTGCTGGTTTAGATTGAGTATGTCACCGGAATAGGCATTCAGCTCACCCTGCAGATCACGATGACGCTGGAGCAGCGCCTGTGCCGAGGGCTCATCGTTGCCATAGTCGCGGGAATTGACTAAGGCCATTTTCTCATTCAGCCAGGACTCGGCCTCGTTGGCATCCGTGTAGAACTGATACGCTTCGGCGGCATCTTCCAGCTGGCGGCGTCGCAACTCCACTAGCGATTCCAGGGCCTGCCAATGCTCTGCGAGGGAATCAATGCGACTCTTTATCTCGCTGGCACGCGGATGGTGTTCACCAATCAAACGTTTGCCAGCCTCCGACATCTGGGAGGATTTCGGTTTGCGCGACTTGATCTCATCCTCCAGCGCTTTATGCTTCTGCTGCAGCGAGAGCACTGCACGCAAATCCTTCGCCGTAATGCCCGTTTTGCAGATGCGCTGCTTGTCCACCAGCCAGCTCTCTTCGTTATCGTAATCCTCCATGAAATGATGGAAATTCCGGGCTTCCTCCAGACGTGCACGACGCTGTGCGGAGAGCTTCAAGAGTTCGGCATATGCCTGCTCCAGCTGGCCGAGTCGTTGGGCCAGCACAGCGGCATCTTTATGCTCGGAATTCTTGTAAGGCTGCGCCTGGCGATTGAAGCGCTTGAGCGTCTCACCGTACGAGTTCACTTGCAACTCCTGCAGCGAGTGCGCCTGCAACAGCTCCTCAACACCCAGTAGATGCGGGCCCACATCCTCGGAGGCGAACTGTTGCTGCAGTTCACGCACCGATTCCGTTGTGCTGGCAATTTCACGCAACAGATTCATCAGTGTGCTCATCTGGGAGAGATTGAGTCGCTGATTCTCGAGCAGCTCGAGCAATTTGCGCCACTTCTCCATGACCTCCTGTTCGCGTCGCTTCACCCGCTCCTTGCCATGATAGTTCTCGCGCTCCAATTCATTGGCCATGGCTGTCAGATCATTGAAGCGTTCCACACGCGCCAATATATCCGCCGAGATGGCTTCGTGCTTTTTTAGTGTGGCATCCACTTGACGCAAATAGCGCGGATCGGAGAGCACTTGAATCATCTCCTTTAGATAGCCCTCGCGCAGCACAGATTTCTTTTCGAATTTATAGTTGAGCTGCTCGAGTTTCTCCTGGCGCAGCAGCTCGTCACGCAAGGCGACTTCGCGTTTGTGCTCCGCATACTCGAGTATCTGCCAGGCCTTCTCGATGTCATTAACCAGCTGACCATCCTGGGGATTATACGACGGCTGATTCAGTGCCTTGAGCAGTGTATTTATCGTAAAGTACAAAGCCTCAATTTCGCTGCGCTCCTTATATCTGCATAAGAGAAAACATTTTAACTTAGTTCATTGTAAATACATCTCTTTTGATTGATTTTCAACTTACTTGGGTGGTTTTTCAATGGTGCGATACTCCTTGAAGGCCAACAATTCATGCTGTATGCCCTCGAGTGAGTTGGGCAAATCGCGCTGATTCAGCTCCGTCGTTTTTTGCCTTATCCAACTGAGCAGATTTGTGGTTAGGCGCTCGTAGTGCATCTTCTTGCGATCGGCATCCATAAGCTGGCCCACAATCTGTATAAACAACAAAAAAAAACAGAAGAAAGAAAAAAAGGGAAGAGCTGCAGTTAGACAACTTTCTAAGGCCCAACCCGATCGATCGGGTTCAAATCGGGTGTGCGAAGTAGAGCGTTAACTAGATTGGGGCGTTCGTTACGCTGCAACAGCTTCAGGGCAGAGAGCAGCAACCATGCAATGCCCCCGACCCTGACTGACTGACTGACTGTCACCCAAGACTGTCACCCCGCACCCAATTCCAAGGTGTGTTACACTCACATTGGCGATACGCTTGCCACTCTTCTGTTCATTCTTCATGCGAGCAAACGTGTGATAATATGATGCCACATAGGTCAAGATCGATTTCTCATCCGGTCGCACCGAATCGATATCCTCCGCATCGAGCAGACTGTAACAAAAACAATTTGGTTAACTATCTAAACAGATGTACGGCTTAGAGCAAAGAAAGACATTTACAGACATACCCATAGGTAACGCCCATTTACAGATATATATATATATATATATATATATATATATCTATAACTGTAAATATCTATTTACCTTGGTATGCCCAATTCGTTGGCTGCCGTATCGAATGCATGATTCAAATTATCCAAATTGGAATTCTTTGAATTGACAATGGTGCTATATTCGAACAGATCGGGTCGGTGCGAATGGATGAGTGCATTGAAACCCAAACCGGAACGCCATGATGATGTAAAGTCCGTTATATTAACGCCCGGATAACCATGCGTCTTACGCTGACACCACAACAATAGCGCATCTTTGGCTGAACGTTTCTCACTGGATTCGTTTTCCTCATCCTAAATTCCAGTAGAGTTAAATTTTAATAAATCGTTTCTTATTCGAAGCAGTTTAACTTACAACATCGATGACGATTTCCTGAATTTGAAATCGCAAAATGATGGTCCAGATGAGACCCAAAATCAATCTGGGATTGCCATCGACAATGTCCTCAGCACCAATGGACTCCAAGCGTACCTGGTGGTTGGGAAAGAAATTAAATACAAGTGCTTAACAATGCTAGACTTGGTAGGGGGGAGGGGCGGGGGAAGGTCTGAGGGTCTCACTGCACCGTTTCGCTAAGCTGCACCGTTTCGAATTACACTTTTTACAACTGAACCAACCAAACAGAACTTGAGCTGCTGTTGCTGCTGTTTCTGCTATGGGGCCACCAAACAAGTCACGCATTATCAGAGCGAATGTCTCGCTAGGTGTTTGACCCCCTGCTGCGTGTGTGTGAGTGTGTTGCTTTGTCTCTTCGTCTCAGGTTCATTTGAATTTATAGTAGGTCACGGCGTGAACAGGTAGGCACAGTTAAAATGGAAATAGGCGAAGAAAGCATAAGTTACCAGACTTGATCTTTATCGCATACACAAAACTGAGCTTCTTAGTCTGTTTAAAAAGTTGATTAATGACTCAAGTTGAAGAAAGAATTTATGTCGAGCGATGTTGATCGATTGTGCGCTCTATTGGCTAAGATCCTTAACTAAATGCTTGATCAGCTAAATGTTTTTCTCTTTTCTTTGGTTCGCTTTCAAACTTCTTCAGGCCGAAAAACCAATTAAAATGCAATAAATGCCGATGTCACCAAAAAAAAAAAACAAAATAAAAAGCAGCAGTAACCAAAAGACAAGCCCAAAAACCAAAAGCAACAAACGCAACAACTTTCACTGCGAGTGCAGAGTGTCGTCGTTGTTGTTGTTATTATTGTTGTAATTGTTGTTGCTATTGCAATTCGTACAAATTACATGCATTTAACGCCATTATTTCTAATTAGATTAGGTTTAAAGAAAAACAAACACACACAAAATTGTAGTAGAAGCTAGACCACAAGCGAAACTATGTCGCACGCTAAGCTGAAAGTGAGAAAGATACACAGAGACTTGGGCGACGTGAGAGAGAGAGAGAGAGACAGAGGGGAAGATCATATCTTTGAGGGGGGTTTTATCTGTAGATTCCATTAAGCTGCTCGCACACACACAATTAAATTAAATTCAAGCAAAGAAAGTGCACAAAAATTAAAATGTGCCGACACGAAGAGCAAAGAGAAAAAAAAAAACTAAATAATAACTAAATAAAAAGTGAACAAAAATGAACAAATATGCATTAGAAAGTATGCAAATATTTAAAGCATATGTAATTAAATATATGTTGCATGCACACTTATATATATATATGTGTGTGTGTGTTATGTAGCATTTGGCAGATGCAGTCTTGCATCCAAAGTGTCAATTTGTATGTAGACACGGCTTATAACTCTCCTTCGTTTTTTTTTAACTCATGTGGCAAACAAAGCACGCAAACGGGCTACGCGCAGCTGCTTCAAGACTTGCACTTTCTACAAATGCGTAGGCCTAAGCAAACTCTCTCTCTCTCTCCCTCTTTCTCTCTCTCGCTCGATAAGTGTCTCTCTGTTGCACTTATGTTTACCTTGGTGTGCAAGAATGCCAGACTCTTGTTGACATTTTCGATTTTGTGTACACGCATCCGTCCGCTGTTCGGCTTGCCCAGTTTCTCCGACGATATAATCTCGAGCAGCTTGAGCAGCTTGATGCCATCGGCTAGATCTGTGAATAGGTCTTCGACCTCCATTTTGGCCTGCAAGTGGCCAGACAGAATATGATAGAGAATCGAGATTTAATATCTACATAGATATTTAGATACTTTACCTTGATCAGAAACGAATTCATCCATTTTGTAAAGGTCTTCTTTTGGATGTGTAGACGCTCCTCCTGCAGCGTCTTGATGCGCTCATTCTCGAATTTGATAATGCCATCGCGTTGCGTCATTGCCGTATGGTTGCCGCGGGTGGAGGACGATGATGACTGCTGCGTTGAGTAGCCACCGGGCTCATATTGTGATGCTACAAGAAACAGAAAGAAAAAATACACCAACAATGGATTAGCAAAAGCTTGACAAAGCCGTAAAAGTGCTAAACGTTTAGCATTTTGTTTTGATTTCAACGACCCCCAATCGTTAAAGAGGGTGCTCTACCAAAAGAAAAAAGATATTCAAGTCAACGGGTTTTTTCCCCTATTGGCTGTTTGTTGGCCTTTTTAACACGATAAGAGCAGTAATTTTTCTTTTTCTTGTGTGTATTTTATTTTGCCACTTATCGCAAGTCAAAGTAATTAATGTGAATTATATGGAGGTCTACATGTATATACGTTCACATGTTCAATATTTATTTTAAGCAGGTAATGCCCTTGTTGACAATACTAAACGATAACCAAGCAATGCTTATAATAAAAATCATTTATATATATGAGATTCAATACATTCTATTTACTTGCTACTTTTACAGCAAAAACTGAACGAGTTGAGTTCTACTTTTACTAAGGATAGCTTCACTTATTTATAATGTTTATCACTAAAAGTGAACACATAGAGATGATCTAATTCATGTCCCCAAAATAATAATAATAACTTTTATTGTTTGAGCTTTTTTTTACCTTGTCTACCAGTCATGGTTAATTTCAAGCAAGCCTTGTCATAATTATTTGAGCTATTAGTCAGTGGCTATATTTTGGTGATGTGATACAGTCAGTCAGTCAGTCAGTAGTACTGTAGATTAAGACGAAAACCAACGACGATACCAACTTGCCGACAAGCACATAAACTAAACATTCCGGTCTATTCCGTAATATGGGCGCGTTATCAGCAATTAATATATACCAAATGGGTTCACCAAAACTTTTTTCTTCTGCTTGACAATTTGTACGGATTACGTAATATTTAACCGATACCAAAAATAAAAAAACAACATTATGAAATATCGTATAACGCTGATTTGTAGGATGGCACTTCTAGAATATTTACTGTACATAATACATTATTTTGACAGCTACTATTTGGGGAAATTGTATTTTTGGGGCTTATCGTGTCAGAGATAATGGAGAACAGGAGGGGGGGTGGGGGGTGGATGTCGCTTATGTTGTGTAATTAGAGTAAGTTCAAGTTCAACCTACCCAAAGACTGACGTTCAAACGATATATATCGCTTATACTCATGGCGCGAAAAATTTGAACGCAATATACTGTTATATTCCATGGTTAGGATTTGAACTGGAATTCAAAATCAAAATCAAAAACACACACGGTACACTGTAAAAAAGTTGACCGCCAATTGCAGCCAAAGTAAAAAAAACAAAGTCTATTCTATGGAACGGTACACTTTGAGTTCGTCTTAGTTTCTCGATAATTTCCCTTTTCGATGGGATGGACGCAGTTGCTCGCACTGCCCGCGCCGTTGGGACACTGGCGGATGCGGCGCTGCTGGTCTTTTTTTTTTTGCTGGGCGTAAGAGAGCTTTTTTCCGTGTATTTATCAGATAGCGAGCAAAATTGAAATATTTTGTTAAAGCTATGCGAGCGGCTAAGAAAATCGAAAAAAAGACAGAAAAAAAACGAAAGTGGCAAAAACAAATTCTTGTTAAGTTTCTGGCCTTTTTTGTGTATGGTGAATTCCTCGTTTTTTCCTTATCATTTGACTGTTGTACTAAAAGCTTAAAACTGATAACGCAAAAATGTGTAACGAATGCCGCTTGAGGGGACCGGGGGTGATCGTCTTATTTTATCGATCGAATCGATATAACTCTCACATACCTTGCACATATGTCAGTCTATAGATTATGTTGGTGATTTTTGCAAAAAAAAATAAACTAAAGTTATTTATAGGTAGATTTGCAATTAATACGAAAAGTACTTCAACAATAATAATCATAAATTCATTTACCAAAAATTGAATTGGAGTTGACAAATGATGATGATCTCATAAGTACAACACATATTTCTTAATTGCCCTTAATCTTTGGAACGCCTATGTTTTTTTATCTTGAACCATTCTTGTCTCATTGTGCTTGAGCTCTTGCTGAGGTCATCCAAAAGGCGTTCGAAGGCAGCAGTTAGTGCAAACAAAACACTTTTGCACTTTGTAGATAATAGATAGTAGGGCATTTAAAGTGAAAATCAATTAAGAACTAAAATGAGGTGAAAATCAAACAATAACAAATAGCAGCGTGACAATAAACTTTACCATATGCCGATAACAGGTGCGACGTAAACTTTGTTATCTCTAGAATGCGACTTCCAAACAAACATATATAGACCATACATATATATATATATGAATTATGTATGAAATAAGGTACACATATAGCACAAACTGAGGCATAACTTTAGGCATTAACAGGAAAAGCCATTAAAGCAAAGTGCAGACGACGACATGCCACATTTCATTCCCAAACATCTAAGCAAAATGTTTTCTCCCCTGCAGAGTTGAAAGAAAATCTGAGCTGGCTGAACTGCGAGTTACCCCTCAACAATGGGCGTTTTAAGAATTCTGAAAGAGGAGCATTATTAGCTGAAATTTAAGACTCCCACTTCCTGGGCAAAGGGCATATGCAGGGCATTCAAACACCTCCCAGCTGCAAAATGCTGTAAAATGTTTCGACTATTTTTAGTGGCAAAGCGTTAAAAGGCAGCAGCCGCAGCAGCAGCAGCAGCAGCACTGAAGAACTGGCCATAAAACATGAAAGTCGAAACACAACACACTCAGGCAACTGTGTACACATATACGTATTGAGAGCGAGAAGAGAGAAAGAGAAGAGAGCATCCTGTTTACAGGCACACCAAAAATAAACACAACACACTGCGCAGGCGCACAAGGATTGTCGGGCAAAACGGGGGAGTGATGGAGGGAGGGGGATAAGGGGCACATGCGGCACACACATGTGTGTGTTGTGTGTCGTCGTCGACAGCTGAGCAACATTTGAGCGGAGATGGATATTTGAAAAATTTGTGTATATCGTTGTATTTATAAACAGTCTTCCCCATTGAGTTTTCAAGTTCTTCGTGACCATAAGAAGTTGTGTCTCGTGTGTGTAAATATATCTATATATATATGTATATATAGGAAAGTTGTCTGTTCGCTGATTAGGTGTACAATAACCTCGAAAAACGGAGATTTGCATAAATCAATAAACATTATGCATAAGCCAATTTTCTTTCCAGTATATTTTTTTTATTAGGCAAAAATGCAAAATATTTACATGCGCGGAACTTTTATTTAATCATTCGAATTTAATTATTGCCTTGCGATCGCTAAAGATAACAAATTTATTTGATGGTCATTTCGTTTTATCAGTCTGCAATAATTTCTTGTTCACTCTCCCTCTTCTCAGTCTCTGGCTCCCTCTCTCGTTCAATCTCCATAGTAGCTTGGCAGTTCTAGCATTAAGACCTGTAGCACAGCGATTTATACAATCTTTTTTGGGCTTTTTTGTGTTCTTTCCAAAATTCGTGCATAAAATTACCTCATCACTTGCCGAAAATTAAAATTCAGTTTTGGCTTCAATGACAAAAACAAAAATGAACAACAACAACAACAATAACGACAACAAATTCAAAGTCAGTTTCAGTCAGTCAAACACAATAACAATGTTATAAATTCTTTTGTTTGTGCCTGGCATGCTAAACAATTTCCAAAACAAAAAGAGAAAACCTCATTGAAAAAGTGGGCGAGAGTTTTATTTATTTTTATTTTCGGTCCTCTCAGCTTGTGGCTTGTGTAAACCTTGAATTTATTGGGAACTTTTATCTAACTGACAGCACTCCTAACGGTTATTTCGTTTTTCTATTTATAAGTGCCAATATACTTATAAATAACTAAAGAAAATCCATTTATATATCAACGAAAATTAGTTATCATTTAAAAAGAGTTATGGCAGTGGAAAGTGTGAAACCGAATCCCCAAAATAAAACAAGTATTATATTCTAGATGCCAAATGAAAAACGGTTGTCTATTGGCAGCTACAAAGTCATAACTGTATTTTTTGGGAGATTTTCATGAGAATTAAAACGTTAGCTTTTTTTTAATAGAATTGGATAACAATGAAAAAATTCATATTTATTGGCATTTTTAATGTGTTGTGCATGTGTCGCTGAAAACTCATTTATTTCCATAAAATCCCCGGCAAAATCACACGCCTCACTTCCCGCAACCAAACTTCGCTTGCCAGCTGCAACAGTCAAATTGTTGAAGCGCTTTAAAAAAATTATTACCAAATATTTTGGCTCATTATTATTAAGACACATTGGCAAAAATCTTTTAGTGTGTGTGTGTGTGTGTGGCTTGTGTTCATTTTTATGTCGGCTTTGCTTTATTGTTATGCGCTGCCCCAAAAGTTATTTGCGAAAATTAGTCAATAGGCGTCATCGCCCCCCAAGCCACTCTTTGCCTTTATTGCCATTACTTATGCTTTTTAAAATGGCTTTTTTTTCTCTGCTTCTTCTTTATCTATGTCTGTTTGGCATTTGTTACGCCCCCCTGGGGCGTTACACCCGCGCCGTGAACATGCTCACAAAACATAAGACAAGACAAGACCAAGACGAAGACCAAGACAAACTCCAATCCATGACATCATTCCCAGCTGCGCATTTCTATCCAAGTATCTAGCAAATACGAATACGAATGCGAATACGATGAATACATCGCTGATACAGGCTACGAATTGAATTCTTTGTGGTTGCTTTGGTTTTCTGCGCATGCGCTACTGTATTTATTTATTACTATTTTTTTTTTATTCGATTTTTTGGTGTTTATTTTTACAATAAATCCATAAACAAAATTAAAAGGGTATAATGATGTTGTGTAAAAGTATGTAACCGACAGAGGGAAGCATTTCCGATATATATTCAAATACTTGATCAGCAGCAAACGCCGAGTCAATTCAACCCAGTGCAAATGTATGGACAAGTCGAGCCTAGGATCATGAGACTTCAAATTTAGAGTATAAGCTGTCATATACCACATAAATATTCCCGATCACCATCTGTCTGTATCTATCATCAACCTATCACAGAGA